TCCAGCTCTGTCTCCAGCTCTGTCTCCAGCTCTGTCTCCAGCTCTGTCTCCAGCTCTGTCTCCAGCTCTGTCTCCAGCTCTGTCTCCAGTCTGTCTCAAAGTCTGTCTCCTAGCTCTGTCTCCAGACTGTCTCGAAGTCTGTCTCCTAGCTCTGTCTCCAGTCTGTGTCTCCAGACTGTCTCAGAATATGTCTCGGAGTATGTCTTCTGCTCTGTCTCAAAGTCCGTCTCCTAGCTCTGTCTCCAGTCTGTCTCCTAGCTCTCCAAAACTGTGTACGCACTTTTCCTTATCAGTAAATCATGTGACTCGGAGGGATGGGATTTGATTCCACAGTTTTGAGGGTTAGTCAGAACAGTCCAATCGATTGACAGTTTATGCTATTTACCACAATTCGACTTTTTAGAAATAATAGAATAATAAGTAATACATTCACTAGAAAAATGACTTCAAAAGCTGCCAGTTTACATAATCCATATTTCCATAAAGAAGAAGGTGAGAAAGATATTTGGAGTTTAATCAATGAAGCTGCTCATGATGCTTCGGTAAACAATCCCGATAGACCAATTTATAATTTGGGACAAGGTTTCTTCTCATATAATCCACCAGATTTTGCTTTAGAATCAGTTGCTGATGCTATTTCAAAACCTCAATTCAATCAATATGCTCCAGCAAAAGGTAATGGGAATTTATTAGCTAGTTTAAAACAAAAATATTCTAAAGATTTTGGTTACGATATTACTACTGATCAAATTTCAATCACTACTGGTGCTAATGAAGGAATGTTATCGGTATTTTTTGGATTTTTAACTCCAGGAGATGAAGTGATTGTTTTCCAACCATTTTTTGATCAATATATTCCAAATATTGAAATGACAGGTGCTAAAGTTAAATATGTAGAATTTGAATTCCCTACCAATTTTAGTAGTGAAAATGTTACTGGTGATGATTGGAAAGTTAATTTTGAACAATTAGAGAAAACCATCACCGATAAAACCAAATTAATCGTTGTTAATACTCCTCATAATCCAATTGGTAAAGTTTATAATGAAGAAGAATTAACTAAGATTGGTGAATTGGCTATTAAACATAATTTAATCATTGTTAGTGATGAAGTTTATGAAAATTTATATTTTGAAGATAAATTCCCAAGATTTTCAACTTTAAAGAATTTACCTGAATTGAAAGAAAGAGTTTTAACTGTTGGATCTGCAGGTAAATCATTTGCTGCCACCGGTTGGAGAGTTGGTTGGGTCATTGGTGCTAAAGAACTCATCAAATATGTTATTGCTGCTCATACAAGAATTTGTTTTTCAACTCCTGCTCCTTTACAACAAGCTGTTAGTGAAGCTTTTGTTAAAGCTGAAGAAAACAATTATTTTGAAGTCACCAGACAACAGTATTTAAAGAAATATGAAATTTTCACTTCAGTGTTCGATGAATTAGGTTTACCTTATACTACAGCAGCTGGAGGATATTTCTTACTTGTGAATTTATCTAAAGTTAAGGTTCCAAAAGATTATTCATTCCCCGATTCTTTCAAGAATAAAACCAATGATTTCAAATTAGCTTATTGGTTAATCAACGAATTTGGTGTTGTGGGTATACCACCAACTGAATTCTTACACCCAGATGCAAGAGTTGGTCATGGATTAGAAAATTGTATTAGATTTGCTGTTTGTAAAGATGATGAATTCTTGAAAAATGCTACCGATAGAATTAGATTATTAAAAGATTATTTATAAAGGAACGAATTTCTTGAAACAATAGGTTGTATCACCAAATTCGTCTGATCCCCTTTCGATATCGCTATAGACTTCCCGATATTTCTTATTTAATAGATCCCATAATTTACTTCTTATATCTTCATAATTTCTTCGTAATGGTATTTGAATTAAAATCTCTGTGGTAGGTTTACATAAACGATTCAACACTTCATAAATCAATTGGGGGTGATCTGGAGAATAAATAGGATCACTTAAAATGATAGTATTGAAATCCACAGGATATTTCTTAAGGAATGGTTCACAATTCTTCCAATCGAGTTCATCAATTATACCTGAACAGTCATTGATGATCATGTTTTCTTTAAGATTAGGTACAATGTCAGGTAAATCAGTTAAGTATACTTCGAACTTGAGACATGATAATATTATACCGATAAGTCCAGTACCTGAACCTAATTCTAAGATTGGTTCTTTCAATTCATGATCATTAATAAGTCTTTGACTAAGTATTAAAGATGACCCCCAGGTTTTCAAACCCAAATTATCACTGGTTAACGCTGGTTCTTTCAATTTGATATACTCTTTACCAAGTTTCTCCATATTATGCAATTTAATCTTCCTTATCAATTCAGGTTGAGCCGTTCTACCACAATTCTCCGATATTCTTAAACTGGTTTCTTTATGAATTATGGCTATTTGTTCGTCATTCAACCATCCAAGGTCACTGGATATGATTCTGGTTAAGTAATCATTATAATCATTGGTTTTCTTCAATGCAAATGCCAATTTGGGCACACAACTAAGTTTTATCACCGAATCCAATCGAGTACAGTACACCTTAAACCATTCAATACTTATATAAACAATCTCTAAAGGAATTTTCTTGTCTTGGAATACTACCAACGGATCTTCTCTATCTTCTTCATCTTGTTGAAAGTTCCAAACTTCATTTAATGATATTAATCTTAGAAGAACTAAAAGAACTTCAAATGGAGGTTTGAGTTGAAGTAAGGGGAAATCAAGGATATGCAATGGAGTCAAATGATCTTCATCTTCAAAGACTTCCACCACTTGTTCTTCCACAGAATCTTTACTAATGAATGTGTTGGAAGGGGATTCTGTGGGTATTTCCCTTACTATGGGAGTAAATAACGAAAGTGGATCAAAGTCCATGCGATGAGAATGAGAAATCATCAGACACCTATAACACACGAATAATACCATATATACATTAACATTAACTCTATAATAAAAGAAGTTCTAGAAATCAGTTACTCTTCCGTTAAATGACCAATCATTAAATTTCAAAGGATCTTGTTTTGGACCGCCTTTTTCACCTGTTTTAGGATTAACATCACCTTCGAACTCTGGAATGGTCTTTAAGTAGCTGGTTGAAAACCCACCGATATCAGTTTTGGTTTCTCCATAGTTGTTACCGCTGGTATTTATACCATTTCCTGCCATTTTATTGTTATAGTCATCAATAGCTGCTTGAGAGTTTGCAATTTTCTGTAATCTTTCGAATTCTTCTTGTTGATCCTTTGGTAACTTTGGAGGTGATGGCATTTGTTCAGGAGTGAACTTGAAAACCCTTATGGATCCACTAAATAATCTTATGGTGGTAGTGTTGAATGATCTTGATCTTAACATTATTGATAACTTTCCGATTCGCATTTCTAACATCTTATTAGTGGAGAACGGACCAGGACGATGCGAGAGGTATTGACTAGTCTGGGCAGAGTTTGAGTGAACTTAAGAGTATTGGGGGTTCAATGAAGTAGTTTGAAATGTTTTAAAGTTTAAAAGGGCTTTAGGAAGAAATCAGTTTCTGCATTTGGAAGGTCAAACCGTTGAGGTTTATGCAAGTTTTGAATATGATTTGGAATTTAGACTCCCTGACTCCATTTTGAATTATAAAACTCCACTACTACACACTACAACTCCACTACTACGACTCCACCACTACGACTCCACATTTGGCCTTCATAATTCTAACAAATCTTATCCAAGGCATTTAACTGCCTTCCTTGACCTTAGAAATGTACTGACGGTCCTAGTCAGAGTTGTCATTTCAAACTACAATTATCCGGGTTGGTGATTTATCCGGTATCTTATCAATGGTTAAGATCAGAAAATACATCAATCGGATAACTTATCCTTATTTATGCGGCGCATTATCCTGTTATCTATAAGTAAACTCATACCTTAATACTTCCCCTAAGAGTCGAATTGTCAATCCTAGAACTGTACAACTACCTTCCCCTATCAATAGGACATGTCAAATCTTTCCCTGAATTGGGAAACTGTCTTGAATGTCGAAATGCCAATTCCGAGTACTATTACTCGATGTGGATAAAAGCGAAAATGATAAAATCTTATCAGTAACTCATTTAAATACCACCTAAAATCCACCATTTACAATTCACCAACGAAATGTTTAAACACTTAAAGATCAAAGAAAACAGATATATTGACACAATCCATGAAACAGCTAAATGGGGAGCAAAAGGAGTTTGGGGACCTGGTGAAACCGAAACTGGTGTTTGTAGATTAGCTCTTAGTGATGAAGATAAGAAAGTAAGAGATTGGTTTGTTGAAGAAGTTAAATCTTTAGGATGTAAAGTGACAATTGATGCCATGGGGAATATTTTTGCCGTTTATCCTGGTAAAAATGAAGGTTTACCATTAGCAATTGGTTCACATTTAGATACTCAACCCACTGGTGGAAGATATGATGGTATTTTAGGTGTTTTAGGAGGTTTAGAAGTCATAAGAACTATGAAAGATAATGATTTTGTTCCAAATTATCCAATTGCTGTTATCGATTGGACCAATGAAGAAGGAGCTAGATTTCCAAAATCTTTAATGTCATCATCAGTTTGGGCTGAGGTTATCGATAAAGAAGAAGTTTACAATTTAAAATCCATAACTGATAAAAAACCTGTTACTGTATTAGAAGAATTAGAAAGAATTGGTTATAAAGGAGAAACTGAAGTTAGTTATAAAGCTAATCCTATCAAAGCCCATTTTGAAATTCATATTGAACAAGGTCCAATTTTAGAAGAAAATGAAAAGAAAATTGGAGTTGTTAATGGTGTTCAAGCATACAGTTGGACTAATGTTAGAGTTAAAGGTTTGGCTGTCCATACGGGATCAACTCCTTTCAAATCTCGTTCAGATGCATTATTAGCAGCTTCAGCTATGATCGTTAAAGGTAATGAAATTGCTAAGAAACATTCAGGATTATTTTCTGTTGGTTCAATTGAATGTTTACCTAATGTTGCCAATGTCGTTCCTGAAGAAGTTGTTTTCATTGCTGATGTTAGAAGTACTGCTGATGAATCTTTATATGCCATTAAGAAAGAATATGAAGCTGAATTTACTAAAATTGCTGGTGATTTAGGTAAAAACACAACTGTGGTATTCGAAGAATTGATTACTTTCGAAAACACCAGATTTGATAAAAAATGTATCGAATGTGTTAGAAGTTCAGCTAGTGAATTATTTGGTGAAGATAAGATCATGGATATCATTTCAGGTCCTGGTCATGATTCTTGTGCTACTGCTACTAAAGTTCCAACCACCATGATCTTTATTCCTTCTAAAAACGGAATCAGTCATAATCCTGCAGAATATTCAAGTCCTGAACAATGTCATGAAGGGTTCCAAGTGTTATTGAATTCTGTATTGAAATATGATTCTTTAAGAACAGATTAGTGTTAATATATTATTTATTGAGGAAGTAATTGACTCTGTGTATTTTGGTTCTGTACATGTTGGTTCTGTGTATTTTAGTACAGTGTATTTTAGTCCAGTGTATATTCAACCTCCGTGTATGTTGGGGTCTCTAGGGTAATTACACCTCCACAGTCTTCAACCTCAAATTCTCTTATCGATGCATCGCGAAACTTCTCAATCTATGTCTTTCCCAAAACCACCTCCAATAGCACAATACAAGAAAGATCCCCTGATACTCAAGACTTTGGATTCAAGGATATCTTTTGATAAAGAAGCCAATCAATGGATACTAACTGACACTACTGGAGAGTATCAGTTCAACAACATCCTTGAAAAATGGATTAAAATAGGAAAGCATGTTTTAAACGATGAGGAAATCGAAGAAGAAGCTAACAAAGAAGAGATCAAACGAATCAAGAAACAGAAGCTCGAAGAGATCAAGAATCGTATAAATGAATTCAAAAACAGAAATACTAGTGTTTTCATCACCGGATTACCTAATGATATCACAGAAGAAGAAATGGTGGAAATATTTGGTAAGTATGGAACTATACTAAAGGATAAGACTGGTGATTCTAGGGTGAAATTATATTATAATGACAAAGGAGTATTCAAGAATGAAGGACTTGTGATATTTGAAAACCAATCATCGGTTTCCTTATCCATCCAAATGTTAGATGGAACTGAAATCAAAGGACTGAAAGTAAAGATCGAACCTGCTGATTTTAAACAACAAAAGGATAGTGCTAAAGCCAAGATCTTTTCCAAGATCGTTGTTATAGAGAATATGTTTAGAAAAGAAGAATTGAATGAAGATTTAAAGAAAGATATCGAAGAAGATTTATACCAAGAATGTTCCAAACATAAAATAGAAGATATCTTAAAGATAGCATTTTTTGAAAACGATAAGGTTATTACCATCAAATTCAAATCTGTAGATTCCATGGAGAAAGTGTTGAAGACGTTTAATGATAGATTTTATGATGGGTTGAAACTTAAAGTTGCAAAATTTAATGGGGAAAAGTATACTTAACTATGTAATATATATATTATGCATTAACATCTGAAATCAAAGATTCAAATGAATTTTTTAAACCGTTTAAACGGTCAGATTGATCTTTGAAGATATTTTTCAATAATGCCAATTCTTTGACGGATATTTTACTCTCCAAACGTTGATTAAATTTGGATTTGATCAAATTTACTTGATTTTCCAAATCTTTGATATTCTTTGAAGGGTCGTTCTTCGTCAAAACTTCAATTTCTTGAACCCATGCTTGTTCAGTATTGGATAATGGGACATTTTTTTGGATTTTGATCTCTTCAATCTTATTGGTTAATTTACTATGTAATTTCTTCAACCTTACACTCAAATCTTTTTGACGACTCTTAAGAGTATCAAGTTTCTTAAGCTTTTCATCACTGATTTCAATAACTTTTATATCTTCAAGAAGATGAACTTGATTAGTGAGTTCTTTGATTTCATTAGTTACCTTATAATTCAAGGTAATTAAGATTTTACTATATTGTACAATTTTTTTGATAGAATCAACTGAGAATGAATTGACTTTCTTTAATAATGATAAATCATCATCTTTATCATTGATGGTGTCAATGTTGATATTGGTTAAAGATTTGGTCATAGCTTCAATTTGCTCAATTAAAGTATCTTGAGGTCTATCATTCTTAACTTCAATCACAGTGTCTTTGAGTATCAATTTGTCATTGATGATTTCTGGTTCGGATATTTTGTTAAGTTCAGGTTTATCGTTATTTATAGTGATAACATAATCACCTGTGAATGTAATATCATCAGAGATCAATGCTATTGATTCCGTTTGTGTGATGAACTGATAACAATTGACAATGTCGTAACTTAAATAATTATAGAACATCTTTATCCAATCATTGGACACAATAACACTTCCATTAGAACCTTTGATCAATAATTTATCAGTTAAGATGATTTTAGGATCTTTAATGGTTTCATTCAAAATATCAGTAGTCAATAAATCTATGGAGATGAAATTATTCTTCCAGAAATGGAACTCTTCTTCTTCATCATCACTTTCGGAATCATCTATATATCCGAAACCTTGTGATGGTTTTTCATAATGTTCATGAACATCTTTGGTTATTATTGCATTGCCATAGATATGAGAAACTAAAGATGATGAATTTTCGAATTTCATCACTAAAGGTTTCAATTGTGATAAGTATTTAATGGTAGTATCTTCATTACCTACCACAGCCAACATAGAAACATTTTTATTGGACCCAATAAGGGAAATATCATTAATCTTCATTTCAAGATCAATCAAAGGTCCTTGAACACAAGGTTTATTCAAATTTGACTTCACTTTGCCTTCATCTTTCATGAATTTGAGTAAGTTTAATTGGTCTTCAATGGATTTAATCAAATCATCTCTTTCATAAAGAGAACTTACATATTTCAATAATTCGTTAGTCTCTTTAATAGCCAAGTCTATGGACTCTACATCAGTATCGATATCTTCAGGTAAAAATGGATAAATAGCATAAACCTTGGATGAAGTGGTGATATATAAAGTCATGGAACCGATCAAATTATCATTAGAACCAAAGGAAATCGATGTCACTGATTCTTTCACTTGGTCATTCAAGTCAACTGTTAATATAGGGTTAGGGTTTTCGAATTTATACATCCTTACGACGTTATCATTACTCAATACCACTAAACCTCGATGTAAACTACACCATATGACCTTTTTAATGGTTCCAATGATATTGAACTTATAACTACTGGTGATGATTTTATTTTCTTTGGCATATAACTTATCGGGGATTTCACACACTATCAAGTTCTTGAAATCAGTGGCATAAAGGTAAGTTCCTTGCGGACTACCATTGATCTCTTCAATAGCGAAATTGACGGTGTTTAAGATTCTATAGTTCTTGGTTTGAGAATTTATTGTACAACACCTTATAATATTCTCTACGGCGTAAAAAACATCACGGTTTTTGACGATTACAAGTTTATTTGATGCTGGGTTTATTCTTTCGCCATCGGGGATTATTTTATCCAAATAATTAGTGAATATCGACTGGTTCTTTATGGTTGAAACAAAATCAAACATCGCTGATTTTTCCACAGTGCGAAGGTTTGATTAGGCAGAGATGTTGAGGGAAGTGGCAGAGATGCTGAGGGAGTGGCAGAGATGTTGAGGAAAGTGGCACTACGAAGAGGATGACGCTGGTATGACTTGAGCTATTGCATGTTTGCCATGTGTCACTACGGTAGTGAGCTCCACTCTAATCACTACAGTACGTTCCACTCAAACCACAGTCCTCACGCATAGAGAAGCGATTCAATATAATAGCTATAAACGTCTAGAAAACAAAAGATTGACTCAATTGCAGGTCATTAGGATCCAACAGTTGAGTCAAGGTGGGAATATCATCAGTTGGATGGAATAAGCTCTTGTAAGTTTCTGATTGACCTTGTTTGATCTGTTGGAGGATATCAACTGATTCAGCTCGTAACTTTGCCATGTCGATAGTAGATTCTTTTGTGTGAGATTCAAAAGCTTTTCGGGCACTCATTGGAGATTCAGGGAATTTGGCTAAAACCACTTCATTATTAATGTCGGTAGTGATTTCCAGTTTGGTGGGACTATTGAAAAGACTACTAACACTTTTGAAGAATTGGGAAACATTCCCCATTATTGGAGAGTTTAAATCCACAGATAATTGACTATCATCAATAGGATCTTGAAAAATGACGGATTTTCTTCTTAATGAAGTTTTAGAAGCTGTGTGTCTGAGCATCTGACTTCTTTCCCATTTAGCATGTTTCTCTTTTGGAAATAATTCTGGAGGTTCAACAATGTCATAGGAATGATCATATCTGTATTCGAAGTTGTCCTTGTTGAAGTTGTCCTTGTTGAAGTTTTCTTTGTTGAAGTTGTCCTTGTTGAAGTTGTCCATGTTGAAGTTCTCTCTATTGAAGTTCTCCCTGTTGAAGTTCTCCTTATTATCGAAGTCACTGATATCCAAGTTACCAAACTTGGGACTTTCTGGCTGAATAGATAACACTGGTGCAAGGGAATCTAAAAGGATAGTTTTCGAATCTTTCTGGGGAGTTTCTATTTGTTCAATGAACTGTTTGTTATGAGGAGCAAAAGGATCTAACGTAAGCATCTCAGGCAATTCGATAACCTCTTCCTCTACTTTGATTCTTCCAGTGTAGTACCTGAAGAATGCTCTGACCTTATCTCTTTTTCGAATTTTGGGATCATAAGTGGAAGGAGCAAACTCCAGATCAGCGGCGGACTGTCTTAAAGACTCAGGAGAAGATTCAGGAGGTGACTCAGGGAACCCAGAGGAGGATTCAGGAGAGTCATCACCATGACGATGAAAGTACCTTGAAAAATAGGTTTTGATCGATCTGAAGGAATTAACCATTTGTGGATTTCTTGGTCAAACACAAATATATAAATAGTTTGGTTTTGTGTCATTGTTAGAGTAAATATATGATGAATTTAGAAATGGATATGAGCAGGCTGCTTGAAGAGTGCAGTGGGGATGGGGTCAAAGTAGGTTTGTGAAATCTACAAATTTGACAAAATAAATCAGAAAATTTAATTGGTGCCAGAGAGGGCTAGAACTAGGAACAATATCTATAGAATACAATAGAAAAGGCAGTAAGGCTCCGTATATCAGTCAACAAACTTCCAAATAGACACCCAAAGGATCCCCTATGATCATCAACCTGTTGATACCTCATCAAACCCAGACTATCACGTCCCATCATTTACACCACCGTCTCCATGAAAGTATCAGAGCCAAGAAACACCACCTAAGCTCCCAATCCACCCAATAAGAACTCAAACTTTCCCACTCCCCCGGTTCCCACGTCTCCAACTCTACCATCTTCATCTCCATCTCAGAAAAGTTCGCATTATGGGTAAACAGTATATTTCAACCAACGTCGTTGGTGATAGTCATTCATCCGACTTACTTGACTTATCCATATCCGACAAGTACACCATAACTGTTTCTGGAGATGGGTACTCGAAATTCTGGGATAATAAGATGGAAGAAGTTGATGATCCAAAGGAACATGTTGTATCTAAAATGGTAGATGGTAGTGGGATACATCATGTCAATATCTTTGAAAACATCATCCCTGATAGTCATGTGAAGGTGGTGGTGGTAGGATATGGATGTTTCAATGGAACTATCAAGATTCAATCGTTCATTAACGACGATATCACCACTTTAACTGAAGTAACTGAATTCAAAGGTACTTATTGGTGTCCTATATTCTACAAAGATCCCGAATCAGAACAAGATTTGTTAATAACCACATCAATCACAGGAGAAATAACCCTTTGGAATATGACCATTTCACCTAATGGGAAAGATATAGAATTTACAGAGTTCAATAAGCTCATACCTACCGAGAGTAATTTCCCAATTTCCATTGATGTTAGTATTGACAAGAAATTATCCATTGGTTATACAAACGGAGATGTTATGTTGTATCATTTACTAGATCTTAAAGCCATATATACTTTCCATTCAACAGATTTGATTTCTGGTACATCAAATTCCGTCCCTAGAGTTGTGAAATTTTCACCTGGAGGTTCGATATTAGTAGTTGCTAGAGATAATCAAAATGCCGGTAGTATCAATTTATATGATGTTAAATATGGAGAAAATATTGGAGCTTTAACCAAACCTTCACATTCTACTAACACCACCATTGGAGGATTTGCTCATGATGGATGGATTATGGGATTAAGTTTTGATGATGAAGGGAAATTCCTTGCATCTTGTGGATTTGATAAATGTATTAGAATCTGGAATTTGGAAAACAAAGAAAGAGAAGCCACTATAAACTTATCATTGACTGATTTCCAAGATTTTAATGCCGATGAACATGATAGTTCAATTGCCTCTGGAGTTCAATTCATTAAAAAGGGAATTAGAGGAGGTTTAGGAGGTGGAAGTAATAATGGGTTATGTGTTATTAGCTTTGATAGAGGTATTAGATGGTATAGAGAAGCTGGTGGTATATAGTAACATGTCGATAGTTGAAAAAAAAAATCATATTTCTAAAAATCATATTTCTAAAAATTCATCCATCCTCCATCTACAACTAAGGTTTCTCCTGTAATATAACCTGAGGCGTCAGATGCAAGGAATACTGCAGGACCTTGGAAATCCTTTTCATTCCCCCATCTCCCCATGGGAATTCTGTTGATAAGACCATCAGAGAATTCAGGATCGAATACTTCGGTCATATTGGTGGAAATATACCCTGGAGCAATACAATTGACTCTGATACCTTTCTTACTGAACTCATTAGAAACTGATGCAGTGAATAACTTGATCCCTCCTTTGGTAATGGCATACGCTGAAGAATCTATACCTCCTTGGAATGAACATAATGAGCCTGTGAAGATAATACTTCCTTTAATTCCATTATCATCCATATGATTGACCACTTTTTGTGTAAGTTTCACCGGAATATTCAAATTGACTCTCATGACTTCATCAAACTCATTCTGGGGGTAGGTTTTGAAAGCTCTTCTGTAGTTAATACCAGCATTATTGATCAAAATATCGATTTTCCCAGCTTTTTCTAAAGCTTGAGTATAAATTGACTCTACTAACTCTTCTTCTGTACCTTTCAAGAAATCAGCATAAACTCCATCAATTTTAACGTTAGGATTGATTTGTTTAAGAATATCAATGGTCTTCTGTAAAGGACCTTCTGATCTATAAGTCAAAATCAAATGATCTAAATCTGCTCCTACAAGACCTTGAGCCATACCTAACCCAATTCCATTAGTACCACCTGTTAATAAGGCGGTCTTGCCTTTCAATGAAAATAAATCGAACATAAAGAAGTTGGGGAAAATGAAATATATTTATAGATGCTCGCTTTGAATGGTGGGGTAGAAAAGGAGAATATCGATGGAAAGATTTATGGGATGAAGCAAGCGGAAACAGTTGATGACGATGATGGGGGAGGATGAGATATGATTTACGAGATCGGGGTTATAATTATGGGGTTTAGGAGGTATAACATCCAAGGAGTGGATAAATATATCCACATCTGAGTACCAGATTTGACCAGATTAGATCAGATGGTGAGATCAGATACAAAGACAAAGATCATGGACTTTCACAGATCAAAGGCTAAGATCAGAAACAGAGACAGAACAGAGACAGAGCAGAGACAGTAATGGACATGAAAAATTTATTAATTTTGACATTTCATTTTCCACCATAAGGTTTCCAATTTTGAATCAGCCAATTCTTTCTCTAATTGTTTAATTCTATTATCTAAAACTTCAAAATCTTTTTGTTGTCTTTCTCTATACCTTCTAGCAGCCAAAGTATTTCTTTGCCTTTTAGTATCTTGATCTAAAGCAGTTTGTTGTTTAGCAGGTCTAGTTTTACGTTTAACTAACCTTTTTCTAACTTTTTCAACTTCATTAGATTTCAATACTGGTAATTTAAATTCTTGACTTTCATCAACAAATTCAAATTTAGCCTGAGGAGTTGTAATATTTGACACTTGGCCAGAAGATCCCGAAACAGAAGCAGTTGAGAATCCTGAATTTAAATTATTTTCAAAACTATAACTACTTTCAATACTAAAAGTATTAACATAGTTATTAGAACAAGAACTTGAATCTGAATCAATTAAATCAAATGGTGAACCTGAACTCAAACTTGAATTAGTATTCATATCATCGATGTTTTCTCCGATACCGTCATTTATTTGATTCATTAAATCATTACTTTCTGGAAGTTGATGATTATTCGTTAAGTTGTCATTAAAATCAAAATTCAAAAATTCTTCAATGGATGACTCCAATGTAGGCATTGGAGCCGTTAAATTTTCCAAGACCACCTTTGTGTCTTGATGGGATTTCAGTAAAAATTGTTGCAGACATAATTGTTGTTGGTTAAAAATTAAAACTTCTTTAGGTGCGTCGGTCAACTAAACTAAAAAACCGACACTAGTCACTTAGGGGGAAAAATCGTCAATTCGTGAATTGACTTTAAAAGTTTAAATTGTTGTTAAATTTTTTCTAGGGGGATATCTCATCTTTTTATGTGAGAATGTTATCGCGACTTTTTTCATGGGGATTAATTCGTAAGGCATTACGAAGTAAAATTCGCGACATTATTATGAGTAATTATTACTCGACCTATCCGTTTTGGGAATTGGCAGGGTTTGCCATGGAATACGGAATTGATAACGATCCGGATCGAATCCGAGCGAATTGTCCGAGTATGGAGGTGGCTCTAACATGTGGCACTAACAGGTGGGTGTAGGTGTTGGGTGTTTGGGTGGTGGGTCGAGGGGGTCGGGTTTAGGTGGTGGGGATAGTGGTAGATGGTGGCACATTAATATGTTAGGTTTTAGCACATGATGGTTCATTTGGTTGATGGTTTTTGATGATACATTTAGTTGATGGTTTTGATGACCAACAAATCTTCTGTGTTAGCTTCAAACTCCATTGAATCAACTTTATCTTCAACAAAATCAACTCAATAAAGGATGAAATTAGTTTCAGGTAAGTCTGTCATCATTGAGTATCAAACGATGTCACTCTTCCTAATCTTCATTAAGTAATTTCATGGTCTCTTCCATAATTCTCCCACCTTTTATAGTATAGTAAAGTGACCATTAATCATAATTTATCATAATGATAGATAATGAGTAATTCACCAAGGGTTATTTTACGACACCTACCCCATAATATTGTGGTATGTCCGATCATAGCCCTGAAAATCTTTATACCTGAAAATTCTTATATATGGGTGTACGGGTGCGAGAATCAAAAGTTGAAAAAAAAAAGCATCTGAAGCGATTAGTGTTCTTAAGTGTTGTTTAAAGTCACTGTGACTTCCAAAAACCCACTCTGACCAGTTATCACCCCGTCAACGCCATAATTTGCACTGTCCAAAATCATCACCAAAACCATGAGAGATGAGAAAGTCGCGTCAACAGATGAATATTGACTCTAAGATATCCAATCTTCTAGAGGATGACGATAGAAAAGAGACATTGAGGAATCTCCAGTCCTATATCAACACCCATGGAATAGACCAATCGAATCTCGAAGCGTTATTCGAATTGGTTTTCCATTCAAAACTCTCAAACAATGAGAAGAAGTTCATCATCAAGAATCTCTTGATCCCCAATGGTTCTTATATCATAGACTTCAAGATTCTGTATCAAATCATCAGTGCTGTAGGATACCCACGGACTTATTTCAAAGGAGGGAAGAAAGTCACCCAAAAGAAGCTTTCAATGTCAACTCAACAGTTATTATTACATTGGCTAGTGTCTTCTATTCACTTGTTTGGGGATAAGATCTATAAGAAACTTCACAATTTGTTACCTGTGCTATTCAATTTGTTATCATTTGAGTTCCTGAGACCGTCAATTGCCAATTTGATCTTTTTAACGGTGTTAAATACCAATAAATCCATTAGTTTTAAAGATAAATATAACTTAGTGTTGATTAAACAATGGCAGATTCAATTGACGGTGGATTTAGCTTTGAAATTTCCCTTGGATGAATCTTTAAAGAACCTTCTAGTGCTTTTCAAAGAAGTCATACCTTCATTGGATTATAAATTATACACTAAGAAGAATATGAATTTCGTCACTAAGATTTCCAAACCTTTCAAATACCCTGATACCAACTTCTTAGCTAAACTTAGTGAAGTGAATACGTCTAATTCACAATCCAATGTTATCATCAACAATAATCTCAACCAGTATAATACCTTTGATAGGATGATTAGAAAACGGAGAAAGATCAATAGTGAAGAGATTCTGGATATAGAGATTTTAAATCCCGATTCCATATCGATATATGACTACAATTCATTGATTACTTTGGTACTTGATTTGAGTAAGATTACGTACTTGAATTACCATAGTCTTTTGAACAATTCTATGAGAAATTATAATAATCGATTCAGAGTCCATTGTTTGGTATTGAAAGCGTTGATCGATGATGAGGATCCGGTGGTGACGAAATTCCATAGTTTTGTTAACCATAAAATCGAACTTTTGATGGCTACCGACACTTTACCGTTAGAACCAGTGTTTGATAGATTATCTGAACTTCAACTCATATATCCCGTTGATTTAGGTCGCTTAATGGCGTTTAGGACCAACAACCCTTCAGTTCACATGTCCATATTGAAACTTATGAGGAACAGTGGGTTTGACAGATTGAACTTGAATTTTGATTTGACGTTGTTGAAGAATTATAAAACCGATAAAATCAATGAGAATTTGATTATTCGATTTTTCCATGAATTTTCTGTGTACGTGAACCACGGTCAGTTTTCTGATAAATTTCCATCGTTGGTTTCACTGGTGTTCAAGTTCTTCGATGAAAATATTCATTATTTCACGGTGGCCATAAAATTATCTTTCATGAAGGTCTTGAAATCCCTACAATCGACGTCAGAATCCGTTCAAGATAAAATCGGACATATCCTCCTTTCCATTCCCATGATCAGTAAACTTCTCCTTACATCCAATCCCATCATTGTGTCAGAAACTTGTGGATATATTTTATTCCTTAAGAAATTGAATTACAATAAACAACTTCAAAGTCATCTTGTCATGGATACTTTGAACTTTATATGGAGAGATAAATCTTTCCATTACATAGAAGGTACTACCAACAAAGGAATGTTGTTGAATCCTAAACTTATAGATAAACTATCCACCTTAAACACTTTTGGGTATTCGAATCTAACGAGAATTTCTACCATCGGGAACTTGTTTCATAATCCCGCATGGTCCTTCATCACAGCAGAAATCATATGGAACTTAGAAGATAAACATCATGTATCTAAACGACATCCAGGTCCTATAACTGATGAATCAGTAGAAAAAATAGAAGGATGGATTGATTTGAACTATGAACAAGTTAAACTCCAGGTTTTAAGAGAATTGGATAGATTGGGATACAAGGGATTAGCTGATTTGTTATTTGGTTCTTTAAGAAGTTTAGAACGAACCAGACAATCAATTATTGTAGAATAAATGTAATATATAATGTAGTTTAAGGTGGTAAACCTGATTTCGTATTTTCGCACCAGTCGCACCAGTCGCAGCAGTCGCAGCAGTCGCACCAGAAACTGCTGTTTCGCACCACTTCTCATATTTTCACCAATGATTCATCGAAACCTTCGATGCTATTCAACAGCATTAAGGGAGTTAGATAAGAAGTGGATACAGAGATGGAGAAATATGGGACCTGGGCTTAATCCCAAGAAGTTCCAAAATTCTCCAGACGCTGAAACTTTCTACGCTTTAGTGATGTTCCCATATCCATCAGGTGTATTACATATGGGTCATGTAAGAGTTTATACTATCAGTGATGTAATTTCCAGATTTAAAAGACTCCAGGGATATAACGTCATCCATCCTATGGGCTGGGACGCTTTTGGGTTACCAGCAGAGAATGCTGCTATAGAAAGAGGTATCAATCCTAAAGTATGGACAGAAACTAACATTGAAAAAATGAAAAGTCAGATGGATTCAGTTCTTGTAGACTTCGATTGGGAGAGAGAATTATCCACATGTTCTCCTGATTATTATAAATGGACACAAAAGATCTTTTTGTTATTGTATGAACATGGTTTGGCTTATAAGAAAGAAGCTGAGATCAATTGGGATCCTATAGATCAAACCGTGTTGGCCAATGAACAGGTCGATAGTAATGGGAAATCATGGAGATCAGGAGCTTTGGTTGAAAAGAGGAACTTGAACCAATGGTTTATTGGTATCACTAAGTTTGCTGAAGCCTTGAATAAGGATTTAGATATTCTTGATCAATGGCCCGATAAAGTGAAGGCCATGCAAAAAAATTGGATTGGAGAATCCAAAGGATCACAAGTAAAGTTTCCTTGTGGTGATGGTGAAATAGAAGTCTTCACATCCAGACCTGATACTTTATTCTCCGTTCAATATCTTGCCTTATCATTGAACCATCCTTTGGTGGTAAAGGCATCAGAAAATGATTCAAAACTTCAACAGTTCATTGAAACAGCTCAAAAGTCACCCCAGGATTCTAAAGATGGATACCTTTTGGACTTAAAGGCTTCATTACCTATTGATACCACCAATAACAAATGTACTGATTACAAAATCCCAGTATATGTGGCACCTTATGTACTTTCTTACGGTACGGGAGCTGTCATGGGATGTCCAGCTCACGATACGAGAGATTTTGAGTTCTGGAAAGTTCATAATCCTAACTATTCTCCTTTGGTAACAGTTGCACCGGAAAATTTACGTGATAATTGGGACTTACCATATACTCAAAAGGGGGTTTTATGTGATAATTCTACCATAACTAACGGTGTGGACGATTTAGGGGCTTACAAAGGTATGAGTTCCGTTCAAGCAGGGGAAACTATCACCAGTACACTTGAAAGTTTAGGATTAGGTCAATTCAAAACCAATTATCGTATCAGAGATTGGTTAATCAGTAGACAAAGATACTGGGGTGCACCTATACCTATGGTTTATTGTGATGACTGTGGTACTGTTCCTGTCCCGGATAAGGATTTACCTGTGATGTTACCTGAAGTTACCGGAGAAACCTTTTCTAGAGGTAATACTTTAGATAAGATGGATTCATTCAAACAAACTACATGTCCTTCTTGTGGAGGTCATGCTACTAGAGATACTGATACCATGGATACGTTCATGGACTCATCATGGTATTTTTTCCGTTACTTAGATTCTCAAAATAGTGAAAAGCCTTTTGATTCCCAAAAAGTCGCCAATATGCCTGTCGACATGTACATAGGAGGAGTTGAACACGCTATTTTACATTTGTTATACAGTAGATTCATCAGTAAGTTCTTGGGATCTATAGGATTATGGGAAGGTAAGGAATTGAATAATGAACCTATCAAACATTTAGTCACTCAAGGAATGGTTCAAGGTCGTACATTTACTGATCCCGAAACCGGAAAGTTCTTATTACCTTCAGAAATTGATTTGACTGATGCTTCTAACCCCAAGATCATTAGTAATGGTAAAACTCCCAACAGTTCATATGAGAAGATGTCGAAATCCAAACATAATGGAGTTGATCCTGGAGAAACCGTTAAGAAGTATGGAGCCGACGCTGTTAGAGCACATATTTTATTCCAAGCACCTATAGAAGACTCTTTGAATTGGAATGAGGATCAAATTCAAGGCGTGGACCGTTGGTTACGTAGAGTCATTTCTATGACCGATACTTTGACGTCAAAAGAACCAAAGGGCGATGTCGCAAGGAAACCTTATGAAGATATAACGTTGAATGGTAAGCATTATCGTCAACTTGAATTGTCAGATAAAGAAGTAGAGTTATTCAATGAAGCCAATAAGTTGATTAAACAAATCGATACTTCCATTAATGTGGACTTATCGTTCAACACGGTGATTTCTGATCTCATGAAATACGCCAATGCATTGAACAATGCTTTGAAAAGTAAGGAACCTTTCAACCAACAACTTCTTTTGGATCTTTACCAGAAACTTTTGGTGATAATGTCGCCCATAACCCCTTGCGTTGCCGAAGAGGCTTGGGAGATATTATGTTCCAAATTAGGAAATCCTTGGACTTCAGTTCTTCTTCAACAGTTCCCCGAAACTAAAATCATAGAAAACGATGTCATGAATTATAATATCTTTGTCAATGGTAAAGCGAGACTCGTGATCCTGAAACATAAGAAATGGTTTGAAGAAGACGTTGTTGAAGAACTTTTGAATCATGAAACCATTGGTAAATTTGCTACCAAAGATACCATCAAGAAAGTCATCAAGAAACCTGGAATGATTTCTCTTGTAGTATAGATTGTATATAGACATGTATATCCAGGACTCTTATAGTACTGCAGAAGATCCTATATACCCTCTCTCTTATAGTGGTAAAGGCTTGCCTAGACATGTATACCCAGGACCCTTGTAGTAATGTAGCAGATTATATAGACATGTATACCCAGGACTCTTATGGTACCGTAGCAGATCATACAGACGTGTCTCTCTTATAGTACTGAAAGCTGTATGGACATGTATATTTTACACTATTTACATAGGACTAATAACCTCTTTTTAAACGGTATTCTTTATAGTCCTTTCTTCTGATTTTACCTTGGAATCTGATTTGAGCTCTCTTGGCTATTCCTCTTAAACTTTGAGTGGCCTTTTCTTTACCTATTTTGACACACAGTTCATATAATGGAGTCAACTGAGTCCATGACCAACTGAATTGATATTCCGTACTTAAGATGATGGCTAAAGCATCATCATATAATCCCATTTTAGTTAATGATTGGACCATTTCATTGGCGAATTGGAAATCATATTTATCTTTATCGACAATAGGAAGGGATCTGAATTGTTGGGATTTCCTAAATCTTCCTCTTTCTTGCCAAACCTCTTGAGCGAATTTATAGTTTCTGAATCTCCCGGCAGTCTTCAAAGCAATGACGTAGGTAAGGGTAGTTCTAGTGATTTTAGGTTGATTCTTCATCATTTCAAGTAATGGCGAGGTAGTTAAGCTTGTGTTTGTGGTTGAACTTTCAGGTACTTCAGATTCTCCAGATTCTTCAGGTTCTTCGATAATAATCCTGGTGTTATTGATGGCAGGGTCATCGACCAAAGTAGAAAAACCGTACCGTTCTTTGAATTCTCCGAATTTACCAAGTTCAGCTGCAATGTTTAAATAAGTATTATAAGCATCAGTGTGGATGAATTCGGGACTGAAAGCTAAACAATGAGCCCAAATAGCTGAAGATTCTGCCATTATTTGCTCGGAAGTAGTTAAATCTTCTAAGGGAAGTAAGGGGATTTGATATTTAGGTGGTTGGGAAGTTAAAGATTGACCTAAACTTTGACTAATCAAATTGACCCGGAAATTTCTACCCTTTTCATGGTATAAGATAGAATATGGTTCAGCATCTTTATCAGTGATTTTAGATTTGGAATAACTCATTAGAAGGAAAGTGAAGGATTTTCTGGAAGTAGAACCAATGGAACAAAGTCTTTTGAATAAAGCTCTAGCCATAGCAACATCTCCATCTCTAGCAGCCAAATAAAGTATATACTCTAAGGTTTCTAATGTGGGAGTCCAATTGTTTGCATAGATATCAAAGATAAATTCCCAGGATTTGAATCTAAGAGTTTTACTGGTTGAACAACCTCTGGCAAGAGCCACTAAGATTTCTTGGTTTACCGGTGTTCTTGAAATCAACATTTCCTGATATAAATCTAAAGCTTTCTCAACTTCATTATTATTAACATAAGATACAATGATATCCTTATAAGCATCAGTTCCTGGTTTGGTTTCTACAGATAAGAACGTCATGGTATCAAAAACAGCCACCGCTTCCTTATGATTACGAGATTTATAAACCAAGGTCCTCAACACATTGTTATACACTACAGGACTGATGGTGATATCGTTGTGTTTCATTTCACTCAAGAAGGTATTGATTTTATCCACATCACCAACTTTCCCATAGACTTTGACCATTATTTCGTATGTATGTTTTGGAAGGATTCCTTTCTTGGAAGATTTTCTGATCCTAGCGACCTGGTCCTCAATGGTTTCAAGAGTCTCTGGACTAATGGTTCTACCTAACGATAAACTTTCGATGAAAGTGTTTATGATGCTACTGGTAGTTCTGATTTTGGCTTCTTTAAGCATAGCTTGGATATCAGGGATTATGGATTGGAGATGAGTTTTGGGGATGTTGTAGATGAACTTTCTCACATCTTTAGCATCCAAGTCTTTGAAACCACCACTCATTTTGAGTGATTGGATGATCAAGGGCCAGTTCTGATGGGTTTCTGAGATGAGAAATTTAACTGAAAGACCCAATCTTTCTTCAATAGAAGGAGGGAGGTTGATGACAGGGGAGATCAAAGATGAGTATTTAGTGGTGGGGGCTTCACTGTCTGAGGTTTCTTTAACAGAGGCTCCCACATCTAAGACATCACTTTCTGGGGCCCCAGGATCCAAAGCCCCACTTACAGAACCTCCACTCCCAAAATCTTCACTTCCAGCTATGGCCTGATATATCTCATCGGTCTCTTTCTCTATATCTGAAGGTAAAGGAAGATTCGATATCTTTTCATATTTCTTCCGTTGATCTTCCTTCTTCTGAACTATCCTCGACACTTTGGCTGTCAAACTCCTTATCTCTTTGATCTTACGATTATAATCCGCTTCCTTTTGTAGATCTAATCTTTCAATATATTTCTGCTGAGGTACTTCTTTTCTAGGATGTCTCTTTTTACTGGCGACAAATATTGATCTTTTATAAACCACACTATGAATCTTCGGCACCAACAGATTCCTAGTGACATCTCCTACTACACTGGTTACCGTAAACCTATTTAGTAGGGATGTAACGGTACCAGACATAATGATAAAACTCATCTCTCGAATTCGCGGAAACTATAAAACCTTAATAGTGTGAGGTATTGAAAATGTCATCATCAACAGTTGCTGGATCAACCCCTGGACGGCCTCGGACTTCATCCTCAGTAACTTTACCACCAGATATAGCCACTATTTCAGCCACTGACTCCAATATGACAACATCTTCTAACATTATAGGTGGTGCTACGTCGACTATGGGAGCTTTAGGTATTAATCAAGATATACCTCCAGATATGGCAGTTTTATTACAAAATTTGGAAGATGATTTCACCGTCCACAAAACCATTGATCAATGGACTTATATTAATCGTAGAGAAGAAATTATTCAATCAATCAATAAATTACATCAAAGTCAATGGGAAAATGATATTAAGTTAGATCCCGAAAGTTTGGAGAAACCTTTATTCCCAAGATTAGCCAACATTAACGATCAGAAGATATCTTTGACGAAGATTTTGGAGAACAGAGCCACCAATTATAAGAACGAACAAGCATTGGTGGTATTGGATGGTAAAGGGAAAGAAGTATCATCAATATCTTGGGATAAATTATACTTGAAAGCCGTTAAAGTGGCTTATGAGATCAAACATAAGATGGCATTAAAGAACAGTGATATAGTGATTTTATTATATAAGGAAGGAGAAGTAGCAGAATTCACTATAGCGTTATTTGGATGTTTTATGGCAGGAGTTACTGCCGTACCTATTCATCAAGATGTTTCATTGAATGAAGTTCTAGATATCATCAACTTAACCCAATCGAAATTGGTTTTGTACTCCGAATCCATTGCTAAGGATTTGGAAAGATTAAATGCTCAAGGATCAAGAATAGCTTGGCCATCAAAATTGGCTCGATGGAGAACTACTGATTTCGGTTCAGCTAGAAAGTCAGAATTATCTTCATGGACTTCTAAACATAATCAACAACAACAACAAGAAGCTAAAACTAAAGCTGATTTGGCTTATGTGGAGTTTTCTCGATCTCCAGTAGGAGAATTAAGAGGTATAGCTTTAAGTCATCGAACTATTTCTCATCAAATGTCAACCCTTTCATTATCATTACTGAGTTCACCTAATTCCGATGGGATTGTAAGGAATTCTACCGAATATAGACGGAATAGGAAAGTGTTTATGGCTACGTTAGATATCAGATTTTCCATCGGATTAATTCTTGGGATCTTATTTGCAGTTTATTCCGGTAATATATTGATTTGGGCACCACAGAAAGTTATGGAGATTCAAGGACTTTACGCCAATATAATTTCCAGGTTTAAAGCTTCTTTACTTTTGACTGATTATATTGGGTTAAAAAGAGTTACTTATGATTATCAACAATCTCCCAATGCCACCAGATATTTCTCCAAAACTCAGAAAGTTGATTTCTCTTCAGTTAAATGGGTATTGGTAAACTCTCTCACGATTGATGGGGAGTTTATGGAAGTGTTGGCTAATAGATATTTAAGACCTTTAGGTTGTGGACAACCTGAAAATGCCATTATTCCTATGTTAACTTTGAGTGAATATGGTGGGATGGTGATGTCAATGAGAGATTGGTTAGATAATGATAAGGAAGATACTAATGGAGAGTTCTCGTCGGTGTTGATCGATAAGGATGAATTATCAAGAAATCGGATCCAAATCATCGAAACTAATCCTTCAGCCAATGATGATTTGACTAAAGACACTTTAAGAGTTGATGCTTTTGGGTATCCCTTACCGGATGCTACGTTGGCAGTGGTTAATCCTGAACTGTCGATAATTGTTGGGAAAGGAGAAGCAGGAGAAATCTGGATCGATTCACCTTGTTTATCTGGAGGATTCTATGGATTATTAAAGGAATCAAAATCTATCTTCCATGCTAAATGTAGAGATGCTGAAGGGGTTTTGGAGATGGATTTCTTAAGAACCGGGTTACTTGGATTCACCTATAATGGGAAAGTCTATGTATTAGGACTTTATGAAGATAGAATTCGTCAAAGAATCAGTTGGATTGATCAGAAGTTCTATAATAAACTTGGCAAGGAACTTGTAATAGGTAATGGTACTAGATACCATTACTCATCACATTTATTGGCTACGTTGGCCAGTGAAGTCAGACAAGTGTATGATTGTACTATATTCGATGTATTCATTGGTAATGAATATTTACCTGTAGCTATAGTAGAAGCAGAAGTGATTAGGAAAGTGGTTGATAATGCTAATGTCGATGATAGTGGTAATGAACAGCATTTATATGACCCCGTACCTTTGAATGAACCAGTCCTCAATTCTATTGCTCAGAAATGTTTCGATACTTTATATAAACATCATTTATTGAGATTATATTGTGTTTTGGTGGTAGATTGTGATACTTTACCTAAGATTATGAGAAGTGGTGGTAGAGAAATCGCCAATATGTTGTGTAAAAAAAGGTTCTTAGAAGGAAGCTTGAAAGCAGAATATGTTAAATTCTTCATTAGAAAATCCATTAGTATGATCCCTCATGGTGAAGATGTTATCGGAGGTATTTGGTCTCCTTATGTATCACAATTAAGAAGTCAAGCATTATTAAACTTCACTCCCCAATTATCTACTGTCACTTATAAAGAGAAATCTATCGATGATAGAACAGGTGCTCCATTGACGGATTTCAAAAGTATCGTGGATATTTTGAAACTTCGAGTGGCCAATTCGGGTGATTCTATAGCCTTCCAGAATCTTGATAACAGTGGGAAAACAAGTTCCAAAGTTCTTACATGGAAGAAATTTGAATTAAGAGTTTATGCTGTTTGTAGTTATTTGATCGATAAAGCTCAAATTAAACCCGGCAGTCACGTGATCTTAATGTATTCATTATCAGAAGAATTTGTTATAACAGTGTATGCTTGTTTAATGTGTGGTATTATAGCGGTACCAATGTTACCGTTTGATTCTAATCGTATAGGAGAAGATTTACCGGCGTTTGTCGGAGTTATACGAGATTTTGATGTTGAAGATATTTTAGTTAATGAAGAAGTTGAAAAATTCTTAAAATCAGGTCCTGTGGCTGATAGTTTGAAGAGGTTTAACTTGAAGAAGTATAAGAACTTAAAGATCAAGAATACGGCTAAGTTAACTAAAGTATCGAATGTCGCATCATTGAATTCCAAGATATCCAAATATCAAGCAGCTGTTAACTTCAGAGATGATTCAACTACTGCTTTAATATGGCTTAATTTCACTTCTGATCATTATAGAATAGCTGCTAAGTTGAGTCACAAAACCATTATTGGGATCTGTAAGGTATTTAAGGAAACATGTAATTTGACCTCAAGGTCGTCAATTGTTGGGTGTGTGCGACATTCTTCGGGAATCGGATTTATTCAAAGTACCTTGTTAGGAGTGTTTTTGGGTACTACGACGTATTTATGTTCCCCTGTTAGTTATGCAGAGAATCCATTAGCTTTCTTCTTATCGTTATCAAGATATAAAGTTAAAGATGTGTTTGTTACTGAACAAATGTTGAAATATGCTGCAATCAAATTCACTCCTAAGGGGTTCAATCTTTCTAGTTTAAAGAATATGATGATTAGTACTGAAGGAAGAGTTGAAATTGATTTGTTAAGAAAGATAGCTAAGGTTTTCCAACCAACTAAATTAAGTGCAGCTTCAATGTCAACTGTATTCCATCATTGGTTCAACCCTATCATCTCAACTCGGTCATATATGGCAGTAGCACCAGTAGATTTATACTTGGATCCTATAGCTTTGAGACAAGGGTTTGTATCTATAGTGAATCAAGTTGATTTCCCTAATGCTTTACATATTCAAGATTCAGGTATGGTACCTGTTTGTTCTGAAATAGCCATTGTTAACCCTGAAACCTGTCTTTTATGTAAGGAAGGAGAATTTGGTGAAATTTGGGTTAGTAGTGAAGCCAATTTAACAGGTTTTACCAACGGTCCTAAAGGTCCAGTTGATAATTTCACTCAAAATCAATTCTTGGGTAAAATCGTTGAAGGTGATCCAAACATTACTTACTTAAGAACAGGTGATTTAGGTTTCTTACATCATATCTCTATCACCAAAAGTAAATCAGATAAAAATGATGGAACTCAACCCCAAATAACTTCATTCCAACCTTTGTTCTTATTAGGGAAGATATCCGATACTTTTGAAGTTATGGGATTACACCATTTCCCTATTGATATCGAAAATACCATTGAATCGTGTCATTCTGATCTTTATAAGAATGGTTCTTGTGTGTTTAAATGTGCTGATTATACTGTGGTCGTGTGCGAGTCCAAAAGGAAGAGAAATTTTGCTTCTTTAGTACCAATAATAGTGAACACCGTCTTAAGTAAGCATCATCTTGTAGTTGATGTTATTGCATTTATGAAGAAGGGAGAGTTCCCAATCTCAAGGTTAGGTACCAAACAACGAGCCAGAATCATTGATGCTTGGGTTCAAGGAATTATTCCTATTAGTGCATCGTTTGGGGTTAATTATGGGGAAAATAGTATGATCCAGTTAGTGAAAGAAATAGATTCTGTAGCCAGTGATAATCCTATAACTGGATTAAAGAATCCAGCGTTGTCGTACTATGAAACAGATAATATGGATAATATGTCTGATGTATTTGATAACAATCATCTGGGATTAATGTTGAACGATGATTATCCTGAGTCCCCCAGAGCGACATTTCAAGTTTAGGGCAGAAGTTTAGGGCAGAAGTTTAGGGTAGAATGACAGTTTAAAAAGGCGGTGGAATAGTGTGGTCATCAAATATCAACCATGGGCCATAAGAATAAGTTTAAATAGTCAATAGATCATCGCGTCATCTCTCGCTATTTCTGGCGTACCTCGCACTAAATAATTCTCCCTATTTCTCGCCAACTCTCGCCAACTCTCACTCCCTCATCTTCTCACTTCTCACTTCTCACTTCTCACTTCTCACTTCTCAAAACAACTCAATGAGTTACAACAGGAAACGTTCACTAAGTCCAACTTCCTTAGACAGACCTTCCTACGTCGAAGGAATAAAGAAGATCATGGGCATATTCAAAAAACCTCAACCTTCTGAATCAGTCACCTTGGATGTTACCATGAACAATGACGATGTTATGTTTGATAAACGTAGAAGAATTTCAATCCAACAAACCAATGAATTTAAAGGATCGAAACCTCGAAGTTCTATCGATTACACCGTTCACCTCGGTAACAGTTACAGCAATTACTTACATCGATTGGAAGAAGAAGTGGAAGAGATCAATGCTAACATTGAAAGAAGAGCAACATTGGTACCTCAAATAGATGAAAAATATGAATCTCCTATCCCTGATATGGTAGAAGTAAAGAGAACTTCCCAAGATTTGATAGATAAATTGGACGTAGGAGAAGTATCAGAACCGGAATCTGAAGAGGAATCATATGATCAACTCATAGTGGCTGATGGTTTATATACTGATGAAGAAGGGAATGTCGTTAGACCTCCATTTATAAACCTAGACCCTCAAGAAAGATACCAATTACTTCAATTGAAACGAGCCATCGAGGTGTCTAAGGAAATTCAATCAAAACTTAAGTATTCCTTAGATCCTCATGAAACCACTTCAATTGTTAGAGCTAACAATAAGGTGGACACTGCTACACAAACCTTTGATGGGAAATATTTGAAGAATAAGCTCAATTTTTTCGATCTCATAGCTAAGAAGAAACAAAAGACTAATGGAGGAGCAGTGTTCTCAGGAGAATTCCTTTATGATGTTGAAGAAACTAAACCCATAGAACAAACCCAAAGAAAGTTATCGGGGTATTTGGGAACTATCAGTAAACCTAAGTTCACTCAAGATAATAGCAAACGGGATTTCAGTGGTGGGAAGGTGAGTTTGGATTCAGATTATGTTGAGAAGACAGAGAAGTTATCGGATTTGATCAAGGTTAAGGAGAGTAAAACCGTAGGATCTGTTCAACCAAGCAGTGGATTTAATTTTAAGACAGGCATGAATTCTGCCACCCAACCAGTTCAATCAGATCAAATACCTGTGTCTGCCAAACCAGTTGAACCTCAACCTGTTCAACCAGCCCAACAAACTCAACCAGCCAAACCACCTCAAACCCTCATTCCAGATCAACCAGCTAAACCACCTCAAACATTCATGCCAGATCAAACACAAAAGAAAAGATCAAGAGATGATCCGGAACCCGAGTCCACATTCAAATTCAAACCAGTAGAAGCTCCAGCTTTCAGTTTTGGAAAGTCAGATAAACCTGAACAAGCTATACCGTCATTTGGAAGCAAAGAAAATACATCCAAAGCATCCGGATTCAGTTTCGGTAAACCAGAGACCTCCACCAGTAAACCAGAAGCTCCAAAATTCAGTTTCGAAAAGAACGACGCTGAGAAGAAGACGCTTGGGTTCAGTTTTGGATCTAAATCAGAAGACAAGGTAGCTCCTACTTTTAGTTTTGGATCAAAATCGGAAAAAGAGGCACCTAAATTCAGTTTCGGGTCTAAGCCAGAGCAATCTAAACCAGAAGAACAGGAGTTGAGCCTGGATAAATCAGAAACTCCCAAGCTTAGTTTTGGATCTAACGAAAAGAAAGAAGAAACACCAAAGTTCAGTTTTGGAGCTAAGCCGGAGGAAACGAAAGAAACTCCGGCCTTTAATTTCGGGAATAAACCAGAAGAAAAGAAAGAGGCTTCAGGGTTCAGCTTCGGGTCCAAACAAGAAGAGAAGAAAGAAGCCCCAGCATTCAGTTTCGGAAGTAAATCAGAAGAGTCCGAGAAGAAAGAGGCACCTGCATTTAGTTTTGGAAGCAAACCAGAGGAGAAAAAAGAGGCACCAACTTTCAGTTTTGGAAGTCAACCAGAGGAAAAGAAAGAAACTCCTACCTTTAGCTTTGGAAGTAAACCAGACGACAAAAAGGATACTCCAACTCTCAGCTTCGGCAGTAAACCAGAAGAGAAGAAAGAAACTCCTACCTTTAGCTTTGGAAGTAAGTCGGAAGAGAAGAAAGAAGCACCAACTTTCAGTTTTGGAAGCAAGCCAGAAGGAACCGAGAAGAAAGAAGCACCCGCCTTCAACTTCGGCAGTAAACCAGAAGAGAAGAAAGAAGCATCCACGTTCAGTTTCGGAAACAAACCAGAAGAAAAGAAAGAAACCACCTTCAACTTCGGAAACAAACCAGAAGAAAAGAAAGATACGCCCACGTTCAGCTTCGGCAGCAAACCAGAAGAAAAGAAAGAAACTTCAACTTTCAACTTCGGGGCTAAACCAGAAGAAAAGAAAGAAACTCCAACTTTCAACTTCGGGGCTAAACCAGAAGAAAAGAAAGAAACCACCTTCAGTTTTGGAAAATCTGAAACACCTACCACCAAACCTGAAACCAAAACCTTCAGTTTTGGCAAATCTGAAACACCAACCTTTGGCGAGAAGAAAGACACCGGATTCAATTTCGGAAGTTCAACCAAACCAACCGCAGGTCCATCCACATCAACAGCTCCTACACCAGGAGGATTCAATTTTGGAGCGGTGGAAAAACCCTCATTCAATTTTGGATCTACGGAAAAACCCAAATCTGTACCACCTATGGGGGGATTTAACTTCGGAGCGGTGGAAAAACCCAGTTTTGGCTCACCATTTGCTAAATCGGTATCTCCTAGCGTTGGTACAGGTGTGACACCTGCAGGGTTCCGAAGTCAAACCGGAACCCCAGATTTCACCGCAGGATTTAATCAATTTGGGCAAGCCCCCAATCAGTTTGGACAACCCATGGGACAATCACAAAATCAATTTGGACAACCAATGCAAGCACAAGGACAATTCCAAATGGGTCAGGCCCCTAATCAATTCGGACAACCAATGGGACAGCAATTTCAAATGGGTAATCAATTCGGACAACCAATGGGTCAAGGCCAAGGTCAATCAGCCTCACCCTTAACTCCTATCGCCAGACCCAACAGAAAGATTGCTCAGATGAGAAAACGTAGAGGTATGTAGTTGAATAAAAATCTTGGGGAAAATGATTTCTCAATGGGGAAATTCTGTCGTGTGAAAAATCTCAACCTCCACTCGAAATTTTCATGTGTGAAAAAACCTAACTCTATAAAAGGTTAAGTGAGTTCCCAACAAAACGTAAAAGTAAAACCATGTCAATTCAGTATAGACCAGGAAGAATTCAATCCATCAATGCCGATCAAGAAATCATCTTGAAACAATTCTATGCTTGTCTTTTGAAATACTTTGGATACGAAATTGATATCTCCGTTGAAGATATCGTTTACAAAGAATGTTTCATTAGTTCAACCAGAACCACAGAATTGAGTGAAAGTGGATATAGTTCATTAAATTATGGATTAGTTAGAACCGGTACTAGAGACTCCACTACTTCATCACATATTTCTCATAAGACAAGTGCTTCAAGTTATAGTACATTAAATAAGAAGAAGAAAGCTGGGATTTTAAAAAGAGGGAAGAAAAGTCTGAATGTAGAAGAAGAATTACATGCACCAGAATCCAGTCCAAGAATGAAATTCATTCAAAGTCAATCATCTTTTGAAAAATATCAACCTATTGATATTAACCCCAGATATGCTCATGTATTTTGTAATTATTATAAACAAAATTTCGATAATAGTGAAGAATATATGAGTGATAATGAAGATTCTGGTGATGTTGAAAGTATTGAATCATTTGTTACTGCTGAAACTTATGTTGAAACTCCGGATTATCTGCAATTCAAATCTGGTAAAGCCACGAGTTCTTCATCATCATTTGAAACTGAAAGTTTTAATGTTAAGCCCATAACTGATAAATTCCCTGAAATTGGAAATTTTGATAATAGGAAACTTCATAAAGCTCTTTGTGATGCACCAAGAAATGATGCTTTTGATAATTTCATCTTAAGATTCGTTAGAGCTAGAAAATTTAAAACCAAAGATGCTTTAGCAATGATTGGTAAATCTGCTGAATGGAGAGTTTCAACTTTTAAACCTGATGAATGGGTTCGTGAAGGTGATGCTTTAAGTTATGTTACTGGTAAAAATCCCGGTTTCATTAAAAATTTCACTACTCAAAAATCATATGTTAGAGGGGTTGATAAAGATAGTAATCCAATTTTCTTCTTTAAAGCCAAATTACATTTGATTTCTGATGCTCCTTTAGCTGATACTCAAAGGTTCGCGGTTTATACCATTGAAAGTTGTAGATTATTCTTAAGAGATATCAATGAATCGGTTGATACTTGTTCAATTGTTTTTGACTTGACTGGATTCTCTTTAAAGAATGCTGATTATAATGCTATTAAATTCTTAGCTGAAGTATTTGAAGCTCATTATCCTGAATGTTTAGGTAAAGTATTAATTTTCAATGCTCCATGGATCTTTTCAACTGTTTGGAATGTTATTAAGAATTGGTTAGATCCAGTTGTGGCATCAAAGATTCATTTCACTAAAGATTTCAAAGAATTGAATAAATTCATTGATAAAAAATGGATTCCGGATTATATGGGAGGTGATGATACTTATGCTGGAGAATATCCTGTTCCTTCAGAAAGAGATGCAACTTATATGAAACCAAGAGATGGAGAATTTGTTAGATTAATGAGAGAAAGAGATGCTCTTCTTTTGAAAATGTTAACTACCACTAAAAAATGGGTGGAATCTACTTCACCAGAGATTAGTGATCGTTATTTACAAGATAAGCTTGATTTAAATGCTGAAATGGCTAATAATTATATTAAGTTAGATCCATACTTGAGATTTGCTGGATTTTATGATAGAAATGGGTCATTAACTGTTAGATGTTAAATAAATATCACCTGGGTGTTTTTTTGACTCTGTGTTTTTCTGTGTAGGTCTCTGTGTTTTTCTGTGTAGGTCTCTGTGTTTTTCTGTGTAGGTCTCTATGTTTTTATGTGTAGGTCTCTGTGTTTTTCTTGGTAACTCTCTATGATTGTGCTATTCTTGGTTATGTTAGCTTGTGTGATTTTGTTGGTGCATGTGCTAAATTATAGACTTTTTTCATTTCATATGAATTGGATCACGTGACCGATCACGCGTCAAATCACGCGAGCAAAGATATACTAAAAACAATATCTCACCTCGCAAAACACTTCATGTCAAGACGTTCAAGCAGAAGGAATTATAACGAAAAAGTCGAAGAAGAATTCGATGAAGATGGTGAAACCACTCGTTGTATTTGTGGTAATGATGACCTCAATGTTGATGATATCAATGGCCAACTTCGAACCCTTTTAAAATCAGAATACCAAATTCAAATCGATCAAGGATTATTCATTCAATGTGATAAATGTTCAGTTTGGCAACATGGTTATTGTGTAGGTTTATTCACTGATGAAGATGTTCCTGATAAATACTGGTGTGAGTTATGTAAACCAGATCTTCATTTTTTTGTTGATGATGAACATGAAAATCGAACCCTTTATAAACCTGCTAATGATAAGAGGAAGAAGTTAATGGCAGAAAGTGAAAGTAAAAGGAAATTCACTCGTAAAGATCGAAGGAATTATGATTATGATGAACAATTACAAAAAGCTTTAAGAGAAAGTGTTAAGGAAAAAGAATTAGAAGACCATAAACCAGTTGAAGAAGAAATAGTAGGTGATGAAGAAGATGAAGTTGAAGCTGAAGTTGAAATTGAAGAACCTAAAAAGGAGATTAAAAAGAAACCTGTTAAGAAAGTTAAGAAAAAAGAAGTTAAGAAAGTTAAAAATGAAACTCCTATTACTAAAGAAGAATTATTGACTCAACCTTCGAGGCCGAGATTTGTTAATGAAAAGTCAAGTATTTATGAGTTAAGGAAGAGGATTAATGCGATTTTAGAATGGTTGAATCGATCACAATTGGAATTAGAGGGGGGAAGAGAATTTCTTGATGATGAGATGAAGGTGGAATGTGATGGGAATTTAATGATGATGCAGACTTTGACGACGAAGATCTTGAGTTGGGAAGAGAAGTTTGGGAAGTATGCTCCTTAGGTGTGTAGTAGGTGTGTAGTAATATAGGTATAATGGATTATCTGGAGCGAAGAGTAGAAAGATAGAGCAGACAGACGGGGTAACAGAGTAGAAAGACAGAGTAGAAAGACAGGGTAGACAGACAGGGTAGACAGGGTAGACAGGGTAGACAGGGTAGACAGGGTAGAAAGACAGGGTAGACAGGGTAGACAGACGGGGTAACAGAGTAGAAAGACAGGGTAGACAGATAGGGTAGACAGACAGGGTAGACAGATAGGGTAGACAGACAGGGTAGACAGAGTAGACAGACAGGGTAGACAGACAGGGTAGAGAGAAAGTAAGACCGATTTATATTACCTAAAAAAGAAACTTGCATGAAAATAGTCAACCACCATAAGTTTCAGAACTTATGGTGAGAAGGTATAGCACCACTAGTATAAAGATGACCAGTGTACAGTGTAGTAAAGTGTTCTTAAGCACTAATGTAGTCAAGCGTTCTTACGAACACTTGACCTGACTAAACAGTGTTATACAACTCCTCTAACCACTGATCACTACTAACCATCCTATCCCCCCCAATAACAACCCTCACTGTTTCATGTCCCTTATTAAACTCCTCCACCACTCTTGCTTCCTCATACGTCACTCCACCCTTGAAATAAATCACCACATCTTGAACAGCCCCCGAATCAACCAAAGATTCAGGAACTAATGTGGTCAAACTATTCAAAGGATTATTTATAGGCGCAGCGTTCACCAAATGATCGAGAAACTCTTTTAATGGTGGTGTATACTGTAAATAGACGTTTTCATTCTCATTATTACCGAATTTCTTCAAGAAATTCTTGAAATTTGGAGGTTGAGATTCTGCCTTTTTGAATTTAAACTGTTTATGGAAATTATTCAAAAGTTTTAATTGAACCAAAGAAGCATCAAGATGATTCAAGAATTTGGAGATATCGGGATGTTTTACTGAGTAAAGTAAAAGCAATTTAATCTTATGATTCATAGATATCTCTGGCATTTGTATGACATTCATTAACTTGTCATCAATAGAAGCTTTAGATTCCAAATCACAAGCAATTATTTGTTGTAATTCACCCAATTCCCATAAATGTTGACGTTTAATTTGATTATCTAATTCACTGATTATGGAAATATGCTTGAAAAGATTATTAGAATTCTTCTTAAACTCCGGTAATTTGGTTATAAGTTTTTTAAGTTCAACAAGATTGTTGGTATTCAACGAAGGTGATTCTTTCTTCAAAATATTAATCTTCTCTATCAAAAGATCATTTAAATCTCCATAATTTAAGTACTTTGATTGGTTAAAGAACTCATCATTGATAAGAAATTGATCATTCTCCACTTTAATCACACTTTTTTCAATTCCAATTAATTCATGAATCATTGATTGATAAGTCCAGGGAGTTAAGAGGGGAGTTAATGCATCATTCAACCGATCGAAAATTATGAGTTGAGGAGTTCGATCCCCAACGTCGTTGAAAACTTCAAATAAGTTATTATTCAAATTGGAATTGATCTGGTACAAGATTTCACTCGATATCTTCTTACAATTGATTGATAAGTTATTAAATTTGATTATGGGGAATTTCTTCATCGATAAAAGTAAACTAATGATCTTCTTACTTTCATCTATGAGATCTATGGAGTTATTGATTTGATATAATGAATCATTTACCACCAAATAATCTTGGAATATCTCCATAATGGTATGTATGACTTCGAATTTATCGTGTTCGGCGATTTTCTCCAATTGGTTCTTATTAACGATATTATTGAAGAACACTTTGTAGGAATGGAAATGAGGAGTGGCAATTTCTTTACATAGCAAGTCAATTGACTGAGCTGTGGGTTTGATATAGATAATACAATTAAGGTTCTTCATTAAGTCTAATGATTGATAGTTATCTATGAGATCAATAAGGATGATATCTTCATTGAGTAATTGGGATTGGGAATAATTCATGGAAATTATCGGCATGGTGAAGGAATCAAGGAGAAGGACCTTACCTCCATCCCATTTGAATAGCTGGTTGAAGTAGGAGTTATTGATAGTGTTGAGCATAATGCGCAAGTGTTGATGTGGGATTTTGACATCGAGTGCACACCGGTACACCAGGGAGTGAAGGTGGTGGCAGGAAGTAGGAGTTATTAGAGTGGTGTGTTTGAGTAAACTGGTTCGTGTTCGTATATTTTTAATAGTTCTAAGTTTAAGTGGTTCTAAGTTTAAGTGGTTCTAAACGACTCTAAGTGGTGCTAAGTAAGTGGTTGAAAGTGGATCTGAGTGAATCTGAGTGATCTGAGTGGCTATAGTGTGGGCTTGTCCTCATCGAAAGTGATTACTTCTGTGACAGTGACTAGGTGACAAGACTCGGTGACAAGACTCGACGACAGGACTCAATCACAGGACTCAGTCACAGGACTCAGTCACAGGACTCAGTCACAGGACTCGGCGACACTCAGCATTTCTCACAAATGAACTTCAGTATAAACAAAATTACTCAACAGTTCAACCGGTTTAGGCATGTCTCCAAACCCATTGGCCCTGAATTCTTCAAGACTCACCTCCTTATACTCATACTCAGGGAAATTAGCCTCCAATTCCTTGTACAAATCAGCCGGATCTTTATTCACTCTCAAAGCTAAAGTTTCAACATCTTCGACAATGTCTCCTTCATATCCCAATTGTTTCACATACTTCTTCAAAGCTGCTTCCTTAGCCCGAGATGAATTCAAACAAACTATCAATTTAGGTAAACTAAACAATCCATTATAGAAACTAATGATATCTTCTTTGGTCAAAGTGGATAAAATACTAATAAGTTTATCGTTTAATTCAAAATCATAGTAACCATCGGTGATTGAATTCCAGAATTTATTGGATTCTTCAGATAAATTCTTCAATTTGATCAGTTTCTTATCAATCAAAGATGCTTTAAATCTTTCAAATACTTCAACCTCCATGGTTTCTAAATATTCAACCATTTGATGTAAGAAACTTTCAATTCGAGTGATCAAATACTTACAGCTCTTTTCTGATTGCACTAAAATCCTATACCCGAAATAATTCCTAGCCTTTCTAAGATTTGAGAACACCACATAACCCAATTGTTCTTTAGTACGAAGTTGATTGAAACATGGTTCATTCAATAAAGCTATAATGAGTTCCAATTTGGCTTGGGAAAGGTAATTGCCCATATAATCCACTTTAATGAAATATTCAATACATGAATTAACTTGATCTTTATCTAAAAGATCCAAGTTAACTACTTGACTAGTTGAAAAATCAATAGATTTCAATTTAATCTGTTTATTGATATCTTCCATGGATGAACTAATGACAGGGACTTTTAACTCTAAAAGATTAACGATTTTTTGAAGTTCTGTGATATTAGTATTACCCACAATCAAAGATTCTATGAACATCGACAGGAAAAGAGTATCCTTAAAACCATTGAACTGTTCAAAGGTAATGTCTTTCAAAGCCTCGGATTTAAATCTTGTCAAATAAGTCTTCTCGTTAACAAGAGTCAAGAAATTATTACCAATTTGATAATATGGAGTTTCATAATCGAAATTCTTATAATCTTTACTCAACTTATCTTTAATGATAACAAACTTTTCTTTGGTGGGATGGAAATCATGGAAATTGACGATTTCGGTTAATAACATCAAAATCTTATCATTATAACCATTCAATTTGATAAGAATACCATCTCTCCAATGATTAATGGAATAGTTCAATCCAGCTATTGATGCATAATAACTGATATCATTAAGTTTATCTTCATATAATTCACAATACAATTGAGTTAAGATTGATGATGTCATATCATGATTGGATTGAGGTAAATGTAAGAACAAATTCATTGATACTTTAGGGATACTGAATTGATCATCGAATTTAAACCAAACTTGATATTTGTTAGTATTCTTCAAAAGGAAAGGTTTCTTAAGAGGAAGGGATTTTTCATTAAAAATTTTGAAATTTGAAGGTAAAAATGGATTTATCTTAGGAAGATGATAATTTTCATTCAAAGTAATGGACTTTAAAGGCTTTAACTGATCATTTGAATATTCAGTTCCATACCAATGTTCCTTTTGGGAGAAATTGAATTCATTAGATGATAAAATCACTCTTAAATTGGTTAAATCAAGGTATTCACCGAATTTTTCAATCTCTAATTGATTAAATTCAATCATTGTTTGATGATTTAAGATCATTTCAGGGGGGATTATTTGAAATTTACTCATAGAATTGGATAATTTACTTACATATGATGAAATATTTTGCTTTTGTTTGAATTTAAAATCGATATTTTTGATTTGTTTGATTTCTTCAAAGATTTCTTCACTTATTGCAGTGGTTTTGATCATATGAAGGTACTGGAAGATATTTTGTAAGATAAAATCATAATTTTTCAATCCTAAATCTGTCAATTCAATGTCAATTAAGAAAACTGATGATTCTTTACAAATAACTGAATGGCCACAACTTAATGATGTAATATAACCTAAATCATTAAGATGATAATAAATCGATCCTTTACTTTCATGTCCAAATAAATGGGAATAATAAATTGAAGGAGAATATTGCCATTTATCATATAAATCCGTAGGAATGATGAAATTCAATTCAAGCTTATTGGAATCCATAATTGATTTGATTTTAGTTACAGTAATTAATTGTTCTGGTGTATAGATCGGTACACCATACGATTTGGGTTTAACATTACGATTTTCAATGGGTTCAAAGTATTTAATAGCAAATTCTTGTAAGGTGTCAAGATCTTCTTTACCTGAAATGGTAAGATTCATGATATTACTGGAATAATTCTCATAATAGAATTTCTTTAACGTATCAACGATATCAGGTTGGTTTAAAGTGGTGAAGTTCCCGGTTGAAAAATAGTTAAATGGATGATTCTCATTAGCAAGACTCTTTTCAAGCTGATAAAACCTCCACATATCATTTTGAAGGTTCTTCTTATTCTCACTATCAACAGCATTGATTTCTTTATCCTTACAAGACTGTTTAAACAACGGAGTCTTGAAGAATTCACTGAAGATATCTAAACCACCTTCTAAATAGTTGGAATTGATTTCAAAATAATAATTGGTGTGTTCGAACGAAGTATAAGCATTGGAGTGACCTCCGTGTTTCGATAAGTACTGGGAATATTCGTTTTCATTGGGGAACTTTTCAGTACCCATGAAAAGTAAATGTTCACAGAAATGTGCTAGTCCTGGTACTTGATATGATTTATCGGTATTGGAACCTACATTGACGTCTAAAGCAGCAGCTGAGATCTCAGCTGTTGGGTCGTGAATGAGAACACACCGAATCCCGTTGTCTAGTTCGATAAACTTGTAAGATCTATCATCTAGCAAAGGTTTCTGGATGTTTGCTGCTAAGGTCTTCATTGAATTTTTGGGTGCGAGTTTTTTTGGACCTTAGTGGTGATAGTTGAACACCAGACAATTTGATGTTAGGGGCACGGTAGGGGACAGTAGAGAGGTTTTGAACAGGGAGGGGGGATAATTGAAGGTGCAGAGGTTCATTGTGGGTATCAAGCTTTCATAGGGGGCAATAATAGGATCAAATGGACTGGGAAGTATAAGGTATAAGGTTCCTCGTTTTTTTGCAGCAATTCACATGTCGTGGGAACAAGTCGTTCAGAGTCGTAGATAAGAGTCGTCCGAGGATAAGTTTTCATCAATCATTATGTATTCTTAGCCGGTTAGTGGCAATGGTCAGGGTACATACTACCGGAGGTGATGAAGTGACTGTAGATGGAGAGCTATACGAGTTATACGAGGACATCTCTACTAACATCAGAATATCAACCTTTCCTTACTCCACTTCACTTGTGTGAGTACCCCACCAACATCCTCAAATTATCCAAATACTTCGTTATCAAATAATCCAACGTATCTAATTTCGTCAACACACTTATCAAGATAGGATCCGATGTATTGACCTCTATATTCTTATCGATCATCACCACCATTGAGTTGAATGTTATACACTTAGTAACGTAATCTATAGGTTTGAATTTCTTAAACCACGTAAATGTCGAGTTAATGCCCAAATCCTTATAAATCTTTAACTCTTCTAGATTATCAAGATCTTGAACTTTGATCTTACCCAACTTCAAATCTTCTTTCACTATGTCAATGAACGATTTCCCGTTGATGAAACTACACCAAGGTTCATCGTGAATCACATGAAGTTTCTTAAAATCTATACATAAGTTCCCCTGATTGATATAGATATCCATAGTGAAGTTGGTGGGCAATGTGGGGTTGAAAAGGTCATAATTGGGGATATTATTAGGAAATACCAAATTCGGGTCACATGGTAATTGTAATAATTGTTTCGAAAGATTGATTTTGTCCTTCAAATCAGTAAATAATGATACATACTTGTGGTGGTCATGTGACTGGTTCTTGATATTATGGAAATTTTCAAGGATTTCGATTGAATCAATGATAAGTAATTGACATTGTTTGATCTGTACCAATTCAAAAGGTTGGGTTATGTGGAGGTTTTTGAATTTAAATCCATTGATTCGGAGATTCTTAAGGAATGGTCCATCTCTGATAATGATTCCAGTGAGAAGATTATTGTAAGTAATGGGGAGTTTGATGGAATCGGGGTTTGAAAGTAACCTGAGACAAGTATTAAGGGTATCCGTTATCTGGGAAAGGTCCTGAGAAATATGGTCTAGAAACCAATGTAATTGGGTATCATTTTGAATGATTTGGATATCCTTGATCATGGATGAAAAGTTTACTGCGACACACCGATTGTGAGAGTTTCTTCGACCGGCGCATCGACCTAAGTTCCACCCACATTTTGTCGCTACTCACACCATAACTCACCACGACACTTCAACGCGGGTAAATGCTGAGCCCTCACTTACCCGCACAGAACTCGCACTTCTTTCGTCGACATCATTTGTATACAAGGACTTTTTATATACAGTAGTGGTTGCAATATAAACATCATCAGTTTCATTATCATCACCTCCATTGACCATCATGACTGAAAGGAACTTCTCTTATGATGAGAACTACAAAAACTTACCTTATATTCAACAAGATAGAAGAATCGTTCAACAACCATATAATTATATACCTCATGTTCAAGTACCATTACCTAATGTTCATATGTTAAATAACATAAATGGGAATCAACCTACACAATCCACTCAACCATCAAGTCAATCACCTCAACCTTATCAGATCCATCCGGGGTATCAAAGTATGTATCCTCAATATCCAGTACAACCCATGCCAATGCAAGGAGTTCAGGGTCAAGGAACTCAAATGCAACAAGGAATGCAACAAGGAATTCAACAAGGTATTCAACAAGGTGTTCAACAAGGTATCCAACCACAAATGCAACAAGGTATTCAACCACAAATGCAACAAGGTATGCAAACACAAATGCAATCCCAAATTCAACCTCAACCTCAACCTCAAGGTATACAATCGATACCAAATCAATCTCCTGGATTACAATATCAATACCAAAGACAATTACAACCTCAACCAACGATAAAATCAACTTCAGCTCCTACAGATACCGATGATGAAGTGTTGAGATCGAGATTTTATGAAAATGAAATTATCAAGACATTCCCTAGTAAAGCTGAATTAGTTAAGTATATTAAGACCACATTAAATGATGAAGAACAATGTAGAATTGTTATCAATTCATCTAAACCCAAAGCTATTTATTTTCAATGTGAAAGAAGTGGGAGTTTCCGTACCACAGTTAAAGATTCTTCAAAACGTCAAAGAGTTGCCTATACTAAAAGAAATAAATGTGGTTATAGATTAGTGGCCAACTTATATCCTCCTGATAAAGAGAAGAGAAGGGTACCAAAGAATGATATGGACGATAAGTTGGAATTCAATGAAGGAGAAATGTGGATATTGAGAATGATTCATCCTAATCATAATCATACCCCTGATCCGCCAACTGCTAAGAAGAAAGGTAGACCAAAGAGTGCTAGGATCTTGGTAGAGAAACCTTTACCTAAACCATCGAATTATAATCCTTTACCTTACTCTCAAGGTACTTCAAGACAAGTGGCTGAACAACAAAGTCAAGAAAGACAAAGACAACTTCAACAACAATTAATTTCAAGAGCGGTGAATTTAAATTTACCTCAAACCATAAATTCTTTGAACTTAAATCAATATCCTTTACACCAAGAATTACAGGATTCTGATGTTTTGGCAGCTATTAATTCAAGTATAAATCCCAATTTGAACCAAGGGTTGAATCAAGGATTGACCCCGGGATTGAATGCGAATTTGAATAATAATATCAATATGAGTTCTAATGTTGATCCATCAATTGATCCTAGTGTGGGACAAGATGAGATTAGATAGTGTAGTGTAGTGTAATATAAAGACTGTGTGTGTTTGTGTGGGTGTGTGTGTGTGTGTGGGTGCGTGTGTGTATTTGTGTATAACTATTCATCGTACTAAATGGGTCTAACCGTATAGATCTGACCTGCCCGGTGTCCTTCGGCACTGTAGAATATCTCTATCCCTCCTCTGTTTCAGATTGATGATGCTCGGTGTTTCAGATTTGTTTCAGATTTCGTTTCAGGTGGTCGTTTCAGGTCAGGCATTGCCACGTTGACAATGGAGAGTTTTAGGTCAGAGAGTTTGGTTAGGGAGTTTGAGAGAGTTCGGTCAATAGAGCATGAGTAAATGGTAGTTGACAATGGAAATATCTGTGCCACGGTTCTTAAACGGTTCAAATGATTGTGTAAATGGTTGTGTAGCAGCACATCTGTAGCAGCACATCTGTAGCAGCACACCAATAGTACCACCACTTCACCACCACCCACATCACCAATTTCACTTCAACGCCATCTCACATCTCCATTGTTCCTCTCCCGCACTTATCTCTCCTCGTCAATTTTCGCATAAGGATAATGTCATTCTTTAGTAAAGCCAAAGATAAGTTGGACAACGTCAGCAGGTCAAGTTCAATTAGGTCTAAGAAATCCAAGGAGAAGAAGAGATTGAGTGGGTTAAGATATGAGAGTTTAAACAATTCCAAAGAGTCGGTCAATTCAGTTAAAAGTTCAGGGTCAAAAAAGAAGAAGGAGAAAGTTGAACCATTGGCACCTGTAGTTGGAGAACCTGTGCCTGTGAAGGAAGCTGTACCGGAGGCAGCACCAGAAGCAGCACCAGAAGCCCCTGTTTCAGTAACTGAAGCACCACCCCCTGAATCTTCAGAACCACCAGTAACAGCATTAGAATTAGCACCTGAAACTTCAGAACCACCACCAGCATCAGAACCACAACCAAAATCCACTACCCCTGAACCACAATCCTTGGTCCCAGAAACTTTATCATCGCCCAAACCATCAGAACCAGAACCAACTGAAACTACCCCCTTAAACCCCAATATCGATTTAGAAAGTCAACGTCCTATCTCCGTTTTAAGTAGTCCTAGATTTTCCTTCTTTATTATTATAGTGTTATTATTATTAGTTGCAATAGTATATTTTAGTTATTCTGATTCTAACGTAGTGATCAAACAATCCGTCAAACCTTCAATCAACTCCATTAACTTATTGGAACTTAATAATGAAGGAGTCAAAGTTCATTTGAATTGTTCGATTCTTATCAATTATGATAATATCACCAATATTTTCCATAAATTCTTATATAAGAATTTATCGGTATTGGCAGGAACCATTATTTTGATTCCTAAATTACCCATTGAAGTACAATTGAATGATTTGAAATCTTTCAATGTTACTACCCCTTCACAGTTTTCCTTGGGGTTGACCAATCATGCGTTAACAGTGTTCGATTTCAATTCCACCATTCATCTTAATGATGAGAATTTGATCAAGTTATTGAACAGTTTGATGAGTGAAGATGAGGTATTGATAAATTTGAAAACTCTGTTTCATACTGATTTGAAGAAAGGTTGGGTTAGTTTGAAGAACCTTCCTATTTCGATTGATCAGGAACTTATCTTCAATAATAATTTGAACGGGTCAGGGGAGGCTTTAGAGGTTATAGACGTGGAGGTAGATGAAAGGTTGAGGTTTACCAGTAACGTTAGGTTACCTAAAATGGTCAATGATGTGATATGGAAGAAAAATGAGTTTAATATTCAAATTAGAGACTGTCAAGGAGATTTGGTTCCAATAGCCGAGTTCCAGTACTTTAATGGATCGATTAAGGGGGGTGTTTTACTGTTTCCTCAAGATAATTGCTCATTATATGATCCGTTACCGGTACTTTATGTCAATACCACCATAGTAAATGATAAATATCCTTCATGGTTAATGAATATCCTCAATCACGTGACTTTCAGAATACCACAATTTCAATTACCTCCAATAACGTTTCCCACGGTGAACTATACTTTAGAGGAAACCACCATTAAAAATGACAAGAAGTTAAAAATGATGAATAACATTTCAGTAGATCTTCCTTATGATTTTGATGTTCATTACGACATGTCTATTGCCCACGGACACGTAGAGTATCATGAAGGAACACTCATTAATGTCATGGAACTAGATCATCAGTATGATGGACAATTTGAAATGAATCGTCTAGAAGTGTCCAGTTCCATCATTAATGCCACCTTGACTAATCTCGGTAACTTTTCCATACCAAACATCACCGTGCCTGATCCTGAAATCGTCATTAACGACATTATGGTGATAAGTTCTACCTCACAAACATTGGATATTTTCGTTGATATTGATATCGCCGGTATAGATTTGAACTTCAAGCGTCCTATGGAGTTTATGTTAGACGCTGGGAAGTTAATGGTAGGTCCGGTGGTAACTTTATCGTTGGATAAATCTCCCGAATTGATAGGATTCCTCAATAATGTCATCAGTAATCGATCTCAAGAGTTGGTATTGGTTTCACCATTCAACACCATCACCACCACCCCCAAATTTGATCTTGAAGATTTGATTGTGGATGTTACCATGCATGTATTTGGATCTGAGGTGGAGTTGACGGTGTTTAATCCTATTTCTAACCATGAATTGGGTATTATGATCAATTCAGTCAATGCTACTTATGAAGGTACGAAATTGGGGACTATAGAGAAACCTCATTATGTAACGGTGATGCCAGGAGAGTCAAAAACAGGGAAAATTCCCATCAAATTTAATGCTGTGGGAGTAGATATCTTGAGAAAGGCATTAAATGGGAAACTTTTGGTTGATGTGGTTTCTGAATTCACTATGGATATTGACGAGTTGAGTATGGAGTTGGTGTACGAAGGTTATGATTTAACGGCAAATATTAGGGTATAGGTAATGTATTGTGAAATTTACGAATCTCTGAGAAATGGAAAGTTGGAGGTGATGAAGTCAGTGAGACGAAGGTAGTGAGGGATGTAGGGAACATGGATGGTGTTGGCTGCGACAGTGGTGTTACTACGAGCCTGTAAGAAAGACATAGAAGAAAAGACATAGAAGAAAAGACATCAAACTAGGGGATCTTAAGTTATTGTGGAGAAATTATCTGATAACTCACCAGAACAATCAAACATCTCACCTCTGCATCGAAAAATCTCCGATCTATACACTATCACCATCTACCGATACGTAGGGCCACCATCCCCATGTACACCACCATCATACCCAGTCGTGGAGGTGTTCAACCCCCTACCTTTTGATTCTAGATCCGTCGTGCGCACCTCAAATCTGACCTTCCTAAAATAGATTTTATTTATAGAATGTTTACCTCGAAAATTTTTCATCTCAACACACTCGTTATACCCATGAAATTCATTACTTCCTTCATTGCATTAGCATTATCTGCTACTATCGTTCAAGCTGCTCCACCAGCATGTGTCTTAGCATGTGTTGCTCAAGTCACCAAAAAATCCGATTGTGATGGATTAGGAGATTTATCATGTATCTGTTCTGATGAATATGATAATGTTGAAGATTGTTTAAACAGTGCATGTCCTGATGGGGTCACTGATACTGCTATTAGTGCCTTTGAAAGTACTTGTAAGCCATATGCTAAAGAAAGACCTAGTTCATCAAGTTCCAGTTCAAAAGCTTCATCAAGTTCAAGCTCAAGTTCAAGTTCATCTAGTTCAAGTTCATCTAGCTCAAGTTCATCAAGTTCAAGCTCATCCAGCTCAAGCTCTGTTGAAACTTCAAGCTCAGTAGAAACCTCAAGTTCCGTCGAAACCTCCAGTTCAGTTGAAACTTCAAGTTCTGTTGAATCTTCCAGTTTCGTTGAAACTTCAAGCTCCGTTGAAACCTCAAGCTCCGTCGAATCTAGCTCAGAATTCAGTTCAGTTGAATCCTCAGCTCCAGTTTCTTCAGCCCCAGTCTCATCAGCTCCTTCATCATCAGCTTCAACTTCATTAGCTGCCGAAGCTGTTTCCAGTTCATCCGCTTCCTCAACTTCAGTTTCTACTCAAGAAGAGAATAATGGGGTTACTAATGGTGTTTCCATGGGATTATTAGGTTTATTAGGTGTCTACTTATTATAGTCGTCAGGTAGGAATATATATTGCTTTTAGTTAAGGTCTCTTCTGTTGTTAGTGCTGTGTCGCCCTACTGTGGTGTTCGCTCCCCTTTGTTTATAGTGTCAGGGTAAATAATAAACATTGTTTCCCAAAATAGTTAAATTGAGAATGTCACGTGAAAGACGAAAGAGATGCACGTGAAATGCACGTGAGAAAGCACATGACAAAATCATCGAAGTTGACTTCCTTATTGACCAAAAGATAGTCCAACTGATGTTTCTCATGTTTAATGAAAGATGACTCCACGTGATGAGCACATGACATAAATCACTCAAAAACATGACTTCACATGGTGACGTTAATTAATTTGACTCTTTAGTTAATTACCTCCAACGGAAACAGCAACTTTACGGGCACCCGAATGAATCGCGTTTTCGGTTCTCCGGCTTTTGCAGCAATGATCAAACTTCTCCAACAATGTTTCACACTGTTTTATGAATTTGACCTATGTTAATGACATGGGATCACATTAAAACCATATTCATTTGAATGGTTCACCCTCAAAGATCCAGGTCAAGAAAAAATCAGAATTTTCCACCCAAAACTCAGTGTGAAACCCCCCCCCCCAGTTTCAGCCCTCCCGCACCTCCGTTGGAACAGTTTTGCGATAAGATAAAACACAAGAATATAAATACTGTTTGCCCCCCTTGAATCAAATCAACTCAATGAAAGCTGTTGAAACCATCCCTTACACCTTATACAAGGGAACATTTATTGACACTCCTGAATTAGGAGAACTCAGAATCAGATTTAACTGTCTTGTTGGTGTGAATCAACAAGGGGTTATAGATTTTATTAAAGAACAAGATCAAATTACTGCCAAATATGACTGGAAACAATATACTGGAAGGTATAAACATGAAAAGGAACGAGAAGCCGATATTCAAATGTTCTTAGATAACCATGGAAGGGAAAATTATTTCAATTATATCAAAATTGAGGATAATAAGTTTATCTTCCCAGGGTTCATTGACACCCATATTCATTCATCACAATATCCAAATGTTGGGATTGGTCTTAATATCCAATTATTGGATTGGCTTAAAATTTACACTTTCCCATTGGAAAACAGTTTTAAGATGGATAATCTTCAGTTAGTTAATGATATCTATACCAAAATCATCAAGAAGACTTTAGGTTGTGGAACAACCTGTGCGTCATATTTTACTACGATTGATAACGAAACATCGAAGATCTTTGGGGATCTTTTGTTATCATTCGGACAAAGAGGATTTGTAGGTAAAGTGTGTATGAATCATAATGATGATTATCCTGAATATCAACAAGAAGAGAAACATTGTGTTGAAGATATTAAGCATTTAAAACAATACTTTGATAGTAAAAACCCCGATAATGAGGATTTGGTAAAACCTATAATCACCCCACGATTCGCCCCCGTATGTTCTCGGAGCTTACTTACCAAATTGGGAAAATTGTCTCAAGATGAAAAATTACCTATTCAAACCCATATCAGTGAAAATAAGGGAGAAATCGATTTAGTGAAGAAATTATTTCCAGAATGTTCTAATTATGCTAATGTTTATGATAATCATAATTTATTACAAGAGTCAACAATCTTAGCTCATGCTATTCATTTGAGTAAAGAAGAATGTAAATTGATCAAAGAAAAAAACTGTTCAATTTCCCATTGTCCAACTTCAAACACTTTTATTGCCAGTGGTGAAGCTCCAGTGAAGAAATATTTATATCATGATAAAATTAATGTTTCTTTAGGAACAGATATTTCTGGAGGTTGGGATCCTTCAATTTTATCTATTATAAGACAATCGATCTTAGTTTCTCATCATTTATCGATGAAACTGGGTAACAACTTTGATAAATTATCATTAAATGATGGTCTCTTTATGTCAACTCAAGGTGGTGCTATAGCTGTGGGATTACAAGAAACTATTGGAACTTTTGATATAGGTAAAAGATTTGATTCTCAAGTAATTGACTTACAAACCGGGAATTTGGATTTATTTCATTGGCAATTAGTCAATGATGACGATAATAATGACGATAAGAAATTAAAGATGTTGAATTTATTGAATAAATGGGTTTTCTGTGGTGATGATAGAAATTGTAGTTCGGTGTTTGTTAATGGAAGAAAAGTAGTTAGTAAATAATATATTCGGAAGGTAAGTGCGAGTGGTTTACTCTGTTGTTTGTAAAGGGCTCTGTAGGGAAGTCAGAAGAGTCTGGAGGGGAGTCAGAAGAGTCTGGAGAACACTCTGAAGAAGAGTCTGAAGAACATTCTCTTTCGCAGCCATGGGTGGGGGCTTACGTGGGGGTTGACGTGGGGTCTAAGAACACTATCGATGGTCATAAGAAGGCTGAGAAAGGCCTGTCAAACCCGGGAGGGTTTAAGGAAACCAAGGGTCCAGAGAGTTCAAGGTCGACTGTGAGGCTACAAAGCTCTCATGAGAGAATAAAAATCGGGCTTGACATATAACATTACAACTATCTAACAAACCTAATGCACGGTATACTTATCTTTACCGAAATCTCTAACTCCCCCTAAGGTTCCAAAGATATCTCCCAAGTAATTGCTTGCCTTCAATGCACAAACTTCATCGTAGTTGTCTAAAATATCCTTCACAACCTCAATTCCCACTTTGTACAAATTGTTCAAACTCAACTCTATACCTCCTTTAGGGTAATTATGGAAGAAATCTACTGGATCGTTGAATCCTTCAGGAGCTTTGACAAAATTGGAGATAGCTCTCATAACAATGACTCTTTCATAGTTAACGTAACCAAACTTACTTAATCTTAAGATAGCTTCTAACGTGGCATTTTCTTCTTGAGCTGCTGAACAGTAAGTAGCACTACCATTGGTGATAAGTTTACTGTACTCGATGAAATAGTTATCGAAGGTTTCACCTATCCAGTAGTTGTCAGATGTTAACACATCGCAGCCTTTAACAAAAGGTTTAGCATTACCAGGGGCTGGGAATTGGTTCCTTAAAGCTATGTTTTCATCGTTACCAATATCCAAGGATTGTTCGACTCTCTTACCAGCAGCAATGGCACGATCACGTAAGTTTTCATTCAATTCGAATACTTCTGTACCGTAGACTGAATCAGGGTATCCCCAAGGGTCTTTAGCACCATAACTGAAATAACCAGTTGGCCAATCAGGGTAACCAGTCAATTCTTTAGGGTCGATTTGGTATTGTAAACCCACTTGAATGGCATATTTGGCAAATGTTACTGAACCAGTGGTGACTTCGGTTGGAGTTCCACCACCGATTCCGTTCAATAACCAGAAAGTATCACGAAGGTTGAATTTAGGATTCAAAAGAATCGACATCATGGAATTAGCGGCGTTGATTTCACCTTCTCCGGTGGTGAAATGACAAATTTGATAATCAGCAGTACAATGGACTTGAGGATGAAGGGGACTTAAACCAGGAACGACAAAATGATGGACATAGTTCATATGTTTAGTCCAAGCTGATTCTTCAGGTTCGAACATAGTGACAATGAAAACTCGGGGAGAAATGCTTCTATGGGAAGAATATGGTGATAAGATTTCATATTCTGTGTTCAATGGAGTCTGTAAGGGACTAGCGATGACTGTAGTTAGGAAAAGAATGAATGGGAGTAACATCGATGAGGATTTTTTTTGCAGTCTCTACATTTTGTTATCGTGAGAGTTTTATCGGGATGCCGGAGAGCCGTAGACAATTTCTTGAGAATTATCACCTACTGAGGATTTTGTCAGGAGTCGGCACCAAAATTTTTAAGTTCGCACCATCACACCAGCGCACCATCGCACCATGGTCCCCCATCGCACTCAGAGAAAATCGGAGATCCGGATATAAATATACTTTTCGAAACACGATTCATCTAAACTTTTAATGAATAACATAGGATTCTTTACCAAAATCCATTTTACCTCCTAAGGTTCCAAAAATGTCACCTAAGTAATTATCGGCTTGGATTTCGGTATAGTTATCCCAATTATTTAAAATATCTTCTACAATAGCAAAACCTGCAGTGAATAAATTATCTAAGGAAGCTTGGATTCCACCTTGATCGTATTCATTGAACCAATAAACTGGATCAGTAAAGTTAGAAGGAGGTTGAGCGTAATCACTGATTGATCTCATAACAATAACTCTATCATATCTAGCAACACCAGATTTAGCTAATCTGATGAAAGCTTCTAAGGAAGCATTATCTTCTTGAGCAGTTGAACAGTAAGTGGCACTACCGTTGGTTAAAACTGAAGTTAAATTATAGAAATAGTCATCTAAAGTCTTAGCTGAGAAATAAGTATCAGAAGTTAACACATCACATCCTTTAACGAAAGGTTTCTTATTGGCTGGTGATGGGTATAATTTTCTTAAACCAATATTTCTTTCACTACCTTCAACGAATTGATCTTCAACGGATTTAGCAACTTCTAAAGCTTTATCTCTTAATTTTTCATTCAATTCGAATACTTCAGTACCATAGACATTTTCTGGGTAAGCTAAAGGATCATCAGATCCATAACTCCAATAACCACTAGTCCAATTTTTATGATCAGCCATAATATCATTATAACTCATCTCATATTGTAAGGCAACTTGAACCGCATATTTGGCAATTGTAACCGATCCATAAGAAATCTCTTGAGGATGACCTCCAGCAATACCATTGATTAACCAGAAAGTTTCACTATAGTCAAATAAAGGATTTAATAATAAAGCCATCATAGTATTAGCAGCATTAATTTCACCTTCTCCGGTGGTCACGTGACATACGTCAAAATCAGTAGTACAATGAACCATTGGATATAATGGTGATAATCCTGGTAAAGTGAAATTGTTAGCAAAGTAAACATTTTGTAACCAATGTTCTTCTTCTAACAGGAACATTGTAACTACGAAAACTTTTGGTTGGAATTTATCAACTTTTGGTGAAGTAGTTGGAAGGGTATGATTTAAAGGGAATGATAACCCCAATGATATCAATGATAACAAAGTTAAGAAGTTCATATTGAAACAACCTGATGATAATTGAAGGGAAAAGTAGCAGATGGAAGGATTTTTATGGTGAAAAATTCCATTGATAAGCCATTTCCTAATTGGGTATATGGGCATCTCAATCGGGCAACAATTGAGAATTTGACGTTTTTGACGTATTGCGCAGGATTGGCTCTGCGATAAGGTTTACCAATAAGAAGCCAAATGAGAAGTTCGAAGCCAATGAGAATTTGCCTTGATGGATAGGGAAGGAATTATGAGGCTACGGAAGGAGTTATGAGTAATTAGGAAGGAATTATAATCAATTGTTTGAGTAATTATATTCGATTACAAGAGAACTTTTGGTCAAACTCAATGGTCTATTCACAAAGGATAAGATATGGGCTTATTGATTAACAATTGATAAGGTTATGGATGGTCCAAAGGAAATGCCTATCACCCCTATTTGTAGATCTTTTGGAGTTTTTAACTATAGTTGCCGTGGCTCTCGATGACATGGGAACCCACGGCGACATTGCGACATTTCGTATTTTGAAAGTTTTTGTGTAACATCCAGATTTTGGAAGTTTTTTGTGTAACATTGAGATTTTTGTGTTTGTGAAATCAAAAAATCACAAACACAAAAACCATAAACGCGAACTCATTGAAAACTTAGAACTACAATGTCTCAGAAGCGTCCTATTGACATGGATGGTCAAGATATAGGGGTTCAGAAGACTTCTGATATCCTTAGTAGTCTCATGAGGTCTAGGAAACGAAGTAAAATGACACAAACAGAAACCCCAGGTTCACAAACCTCAGGGTCAGATTCGGGATCAGGATCACAATCAGAATCAGAATCATCAGAATCAGAATCAGAATCAGACACAGACGAAGATAGTGACAATGAGCAACTCCCTGCGCAAGCTGGGGTCATAGAGAAGATCACACTCAAGAATTTCATGTGTCATGACTCATTTGAATTGGAATTGGGCCCCAGACTTAATTTCATTATAGGGAGAAATGGTAGTGGGAAGAGTGCTATCATTACAGGGATCTCCGTGGGACTTGGTGCTAAGGCTAGTGATACCTCTAGAGGGTCAGCTATTACTGATCTTATTAAAGATGGGAAATCTACTGCCAGGATCATCATCACTTTTAAGAATAATGGAGTCGATGGATTTTACCCCGATAAGTACGGTGACAGGATCACCATAGAGAGACGGTTAAGCAGAGAGGGTGGGTCGTCGAATTATACCATCAAAGATAGTACGGGGAAGACGTTTTCCACTAAGAAGTCCGATATAGATGAGATCCTTTTGAAGTATAACATTCGTGTGGATAATCCTTTATCGTTCTTATCCCAAGATAAGGCCAGAGAGTTCCTCACTGCCACCAGTGATGAAGCCAAGTTCCAGTATTTCATGCAAGGAGTGTTGGTTACCGATATCATCAATAATCACAAACAGACGTCGAATCACGTATCGGAGATCAAAGGGAAACTCTCGTTAGCTAAAGAGAACCAAGTGATAGCTAGGGAGAAGCTTGCAGAACTGATCAAACAGCACAATAGGTTTAAAGAATCGGATGAATTACGGAGAAAAGTTGATCTCCTTCAAGGGAAGATTTTCTGGTATAACGTGTATAGGATCGAACTCGGGATCAAGAAATATGAAGATATCATAGCTGCTGGTGAGGCCGAACTTCAAGCCATAGATAAAACCCGTGAACATAATAAAGAAAAAAGTCGTGCGCTTACCACGAAAATTCAAGACAGTAAGACGGAGATAGAGACGTTAAAGGATAGGCTCGTGAATATAGTGGCGGATATAGCTTCCACTACCAAGAGTCATGAAGATTTAAAACGAAAGAAAGATGATCTTGAACAAGAAATCAAACGGAACAAGGATTCTATCGATACTAACACGGTGAAGATCCAAGGGTTCGAACAGGAGATCGTGGCAGAACAAATGAAGATCGACCAAATCAACGGAGGTTCGTTTGAGGAACTTAACCACAAAAAGAATCAACTTTATGAACAAATCAAACAATTGAAAGATGACAAAGATGATAAGAACCGTCAGCTAGAAGAACTCAATGGTGAAGGAGTAATGCAACAACTTCGGGCCAAAATCACTGAGGAACGAGAGTTAGCCAACGCTATCTCTGATGATAAGGATAGAATTCGAACTTTGAATGAAAGTAAACGAGATAGATACATTGCATGGGGTAGTACGATGAAACGACTTGTTCAGCACATTGATTCTATCAATAGTTGGCACCAGAAACCTCTTGGACCTATAGGATCATTGATTAATGTTAAGAAAGATTACACAAACTGGAAGAGTCTTCTTAATACAGTGTTAAGTAGAACGTTGGATTCATTCTTGGTGTCTGACGAACATGATAGGAAGATGTTGTTGGAGTTATTGAAGAAATATAACGTTTCTAATGGGATCATCGTACGGAAATTCGAAACGTTTGATTTCCATGGAGGTAAACCTGAAGATGAACATATTACATTTGTGGATATGATGAATTTCCACAATGAGTTTGTATTATATACGTTGATAGATTTCAATTCTATAGAGAAATCCATCATCACCAATGATCAGAGATTGGCCAATAAGCTCGTGTCGGCGAGAAATGTTCAAAACGTCTATTCTTTGACCAGTGGTACCACCGGACAACGGTCTTATGGGGATGTGAATTCATTTTCTGTGGACCCGGTGTTTTTCAATACCCGTCAAGGGATGAAATTATCTAGTGGGACATCTATGGACGGGATCGATGAAGAGATGAGACAATTAGAACGATCGATCCACGATAAACAACGGGACCAAGGTCAATTAGCTGCTGATATAAGACAATTTAAAATTGAACAGGAAGAGAAAAAGGCTCAAATCCGGAACCAGATCAATGGGATCACTAAAACCATCAACCAGCTCACCAATGAGGTGACTGAGATCGAACAAGGGCTTGATGAAGGGACGGTATCGGCTAAAATCGATTCCTTAAGGGCCAGGATCGATGATTTAAACCAACAAAATACCCGTTGTAGTAATATTTTGATCTCCATTGGTGAAGATATGAGTAATATGGACACCATTAAGGAGACTAAGGCCATCAGACACAAACTTAAGCAGTTACAACTTACAGAACGAGAAATCCTTGGTCAAACGGAATCTTTGGAACAAGAAGTTGAAAGTATGATGGATGAATTGACAGTAATGGATGGTGAAGATAATAGAAATGTCATCAAGGAAGCACAAATCCATGAAACCATTCAGAAACGTAAGGAGAAGATCGTTGTATCGCAACAAAAGAAGGAAGAATTTCAAACTCGTGGTGAAACTTTCTGTCAAAGAGAGGATGTGCCTATAACTGAAGCCGATAGTTCAGAAACCGTGGAACAAGAGTTTAGAATCGCTCAGAAAGCTTTGGAAGAAGCAGATAAATTAACAGGTATGAGATATGAGGATATTCAACAAGAATTGTTACACAATAATCAACTTTGTGAACAAATAGATGAACAAGTGAATAATCTTCAACAATTATTTGATGGTTTACAAGCAGATTTACTTCAAAGATTATCATTTTTGCGGAGAACCATCTCCATCAACATCCAAGAAGCTAAAACCTCGTTTGAAAATGCTTTGGATGTTAGGAAATATAAGGGGAAATTGATTGTAGATAATCAAAATCAAAAGGTTACGATGTTAGTAGCACCCCAGGAAGCTAGTCAGGTCAGAAGTGTGGATTCTTTATCGGGAGGGGAGAAATCTTTCACTCAAATAGCTTTCTTATTATCGATTTGGAAGATTATGAACAGTAAGATTAGAGGATTAGATGAGTTTGATGTTTTTATGGATTCAATGAATAGAACGGCATCAATTAATTTGTTGTTGAATGAGTTGAAGAAGGTTCCACAGAGTCAAACTATTCTTATCACTCCCCAGGATATTACTACTATTGCTAGTATTAATGATGATGTTAGGATTCATAGGATGAGTAATCCTCGAGGAGATTAACCGACACCAGATTTTGGCTTGCCAAAAGCTGGTCATTGATGTTTGATGTTTTATGTTTCATGATCTACGTCGTGTTTCATGTTTCAGATTTGTTTCAGATTTGTTTCATGTTTCATATTTGTTTCATAAATCATGTTCCCTAATTGTTTCATAAATCATGTTTCAGAGTTGATGTCTCACAAATGTTCCACATTTGTTTCAGAGTTGATGTTTCAGAGTTGATGTTTCACAAATGTTTCACATTTGTTCACAAAGATTTCGCGTTCTATGCATTATATACAAGTCTTATATGATCTTTAAATATACTATCCTCTAACGGATACACCGATACCAATTTCTTATACTCTTTACTACCCAATTCCACGATTAATCCCCTTTCTACCACTATAGGAATGATTTTATCTATCAAATCGTTATGAAACTCCGGATCGTGAACTATTATCTCCAAGTAATGACGAAACATGGTGGTGGATTCGAACTCCTGGTGTTTGAATTGGATGAAAATCTTCATAAATTTAGGGACGACAGTAAAAGTTTCATTCAAAGTCATTAAAGGTTGATTATGACGATGATAAAGCCTTTTATACGACCGTCCATGCTGATGTATATGTAATTTGAGGTTCTTCATTATATGGAGGAACATGTCATCGGAGAAAATGTCTTTTATACGAGTACCTGTCTTTCTAGGTGCCATACTCATCACTATTAACGCATCTTGGAAGCTGGCCAATGATGTGAGTTCTTTTACTAAGAACCTAGTAAGGTTAAAATGAGTTGAAGTTATCCAATTGATGAAGTTCAACGGTTTGGCAGTAACTCGTTGACGGAGAATTCGATTGATAAGTTTACAAAACATGGGTAATTCATTCAAAGGGATGGATTTCTTAAATACAGGAATTCTGGATATATCACAATTGTGGTCTTTTGATTTTTGGAGTTGATTATTTACAATGACGGCATTACGGGAATATTTGTAATGATTACTTAAGGTAATGAATGTTTCCATGGCTTTGTGGACATTACATTTTTTACTATAACTTTCAATCAGGGAGATTAAAAGATGCTTATAACAATCTTTATGGCCATGAATGGAATAGAATTGTTTAAAATAATGAATGAGTCCATCGATATAACCGGGTTTATTATGGATGAGGAAAATCGTTGATAACTGTTCGAGTGATTGTGGGGTTATTAGGAAGGGATAATGAGTTTGTGATTGGATTTGTGGAATTTGGGTTTGTAAACTTTCTGTTTGTGGGATTTGGGTTTGGGTTTGTGGATTTTGTTTTTGTAAACTTTCTGTTTGTAAACTTTCTATCTGTAAACTTTCTATTTGTGGATTCAATAATTCCTCAATTTCAACCTCTAAATCTTCATATAATCGATAATTATCTATGACATTATGATAAATCAATTTTGCTCCTTCTAAACTCATCTGTTGACACACTGAAGTCATATAAATTGACCATATTTCATTACTTAACACAAAATCATCATAACTATGGAAGATTTTTTGAAGAAATGGCGTGACAAAATAATTCCCTATGTTCTTATACACAAAGAACTCAATCAATTCATGATGTAAGTTATGTTCAAGATGCTTTAGGATGAATTTCAAGGATTTTTCATTATTATCATCCTGTAAAATCTTGAAAAGTTTCAAATTTATCATTAAAGATCCATTGTTTTCCACAAGACTCTTAGGTACAACAAAAGAATATGACGGTAGGCTCGATAAAACCTTATAAAAATCACCTTCTTGTTGATAATCTCTTTGACCTTGGATCATTTTCTGGGAAAGACCATTTACCATCGCATTAAAAGTGGTTTGATTGGGTGTGGATTTAAACTTGTCGAGGTTATTAGGCCGTATTCGTGTGGGATGGTAATGTCGTATGGGTGTTCTCAGTAGGGACGAAATCCCATTGAACTGACGAATTCGTAGGTTTATCATTAAAAACCTTTCGATTAAAAAATTCGCAGTAATGTGTATGGTTTTTGTGGATGGGACAGAAAAAAAAAAATCTCAAATCCACAAAACCAAAGCGCGCGCACTGAAAATTCTCTGGCCCCAAAATCTGTCGCACCAGAACCGTCGCTCTGAAAATTCTCTGGCACCAAAAACTATCGCACTAAAAATGCAAAAAAAAATTTTCTTTCGCAGTTTTCCATTTGTACTTTAAATCCACAAACCCATTAAAGGAAAAAAAAAGAATATGTTTAGATCACTTATAAGACCTAAACTCGTACGAGGACTCAGACCTCAACTCATAAAGCCACAATTAATGGTTTTACCAGGTTTAAGATTTGCATCCACAAATACCAATGAAAAATTATCAGAAATCACCACCGAGTTGAGTCAATTCACTGATGAACTTCCATTACAATCACCATTAACTTCCGACCAATTGGGATACTTGGACTCCATTGGTTTGGCCCAAGGGTTTGGTCCTACCGCCATGGTAGAGAGAGTCATGGAATATGCCCATGTTTATACTGGTTTACCGTGGTGGGCCACCATCATTGGAGTTTCCTTAAGTTTGAGATTCGTCATGTTCCCATTGTACGTTAGAGCCACCAGAAATGCCGCTAAGGTTTCCAAGATCAAGCCAGAATTGGACGATATCATGAGAGGTTTAAGAAATGCTGAAAATCCTCAAGAACAAGCTGAGTTAACCAGAAGAAGACAAAAGCTTTCAAAGGATAATGATATTCACATGACCCATCAGTTCTTACCCGCTGTATCTCAAATCGTCTTTGGGTATGCTTCATACCAGGCGTTAACTAAGATGGCCAGATTCCCCGTTCAAGGTTTTAGTGAACAAGGGGCTTATTGGTTCCAAGATTTAAGTCAAGTTGATCCATATTTGGGTTTACAAGTGATTTCTGCCGCTGCTTTCTTAGCTATGTTCAAATTAGGTTCTAAAGCTGGTATGAGTGAGTTTGGTCCAACACAAATGAGTGCTCCTATGCAAAAATTAATGTATGCCATGCCAATTGTAACAATTTTCATCACCAAAAATTTACCTGCGGCTTTCATTTTGTACTTGGCCACAAACTCAATTTTTTCAATTTTACAAAGTTTGATTTTCAATAATAAAACTTGTAGAAAATGGTTAAAGATTCCTCCAATGGTAAGACATGCTCCTAAACCTCAAGATAACAATTTAGGAGATTGGTGGAAAGATTTTAAAGATCAAACAAATAAGAATACACAAAAGAATATGCGTCAATCAGATAAAAGATTGGCAGCTAGAAGAAAGAGAAATCTTGATTCTAATAATAATTATATAAAGAGACATTAGGCTTGTAAATAGGAATGTATAAAGAGTGTGGATTTTTTTTGTGGATTTTGTGTTTGTGGACTTTTTTGTGTTTGTGGACTTTTCTGTGTTTGTGGAATTTGTGTTTGTGGACCTTTTTGTGTTTGTGGACTTTTCTGTGTTTGTAAACATTTTTTGCGACCAGAGAAATCAAATAAAATATATATAAAAACATTTAAACACTTTGAGTGTTATCTGAAGGTAAATTCTCATTTGGTAAGTCTTGATCTTGTTGTGATTGATTATCTGTTTGTGACATTTGTGTTTGTGAAATTTGTGTTTGTGAAATTTGTGTTTGTACCTCATCTGTTTGTACCTCATCTGTTTGTAAACCATCTGTTTGTACACCATCTGTTTGTAAACTTTCCAATTCATCTGTTTCTTCATCAATTTGTTCATCAATTTGTTCACCACTTCCTTCTTCTTGAACATCAAAAATTTCATTAAACTTAACAATAACCTTTTCTAATACAAAATTGATAAATCCGAAGTTATTCATCAATAGTTCCAAACTACTGGCTTCAGTTAAAGCTGGACCTATGACGGTAGCAATGTTAGTGGGAGTCATTTTATTATCATCACTAAACAGAGCCACTTTGTGTAAGTGACCAGTTAAACACTTGAAAGTTTCATAGTTAACTGGAGGTAACGATTTAAGGATGGTTTTGAATTCGGCGATATGGACCGACAGGGTGGGGGCACCAGCAGTAGCACCAGCACCGGTACCAGCACCAACACCAACGCCTGAGGTAGCCCCGGCACCAACACTGGCCATGTCCTGCCTCAATTTAAACAACCGTTCAATCACCTTATCGGTCAATAACGCATCGGGTAATTCTCTCAAGAACAGTTTAACACAACTGGTCAACGCATGAGTATCGTAGCCTCTCAGAACGAAGTCTATGCCTCCAGTACGATCAATCATGGCCTTCAAGTTACCTAACTCACTCAACGACGTACTAATTCTATAAACCCCTACGTCCTTAATACCATCGGCCTCGATCTGGCGGAAAATCTCCGTCAAGAATCGCGGTACCATGGTTCCTTGACGATTACATACCACGGCGATAGGCACACCAAACGTCGTATGGTTGGCGGATTTGAAGTTCAAAGTCTTGGAATAGAACCAATGACGGTTAGCGTAGTTCAATTTCATCAACCAATCGTTTAAATCTCCTTCGTCCTGGCACTGGAAGAAATAATCCTCGCCCCCCACGTCGTTATCGATTTTGAACGAATATGGCATGAGGTACACAGGGAAGATTTTCTTATTCTTTAAGGCGATGGTCACCAAAGGTTTCTGTTTATCGGTCGACGGTGGTGGTAAATCTCTACTACCAATGGACCCACCAGGACGAGATTTATTGAATAATCCACTAATCTTGAACCGGGAGGAAGAATTGGTCTTATACGTCAATGATTGTCGTCTAATGCTGGGGTTGGAAGGTTTCTTAACCACACGAGGCTCCTCAGGAAGTTTACGGGCTTCTAGGGCGAGAATCTTCTGCTGGTCCCGTAACACCGTCTTAAATAATTTCACCTTATCCTTCTCCAAGAAAGTGAATTCCTTAAGGTTCTGGTTATTGACCAAGGACTCGTCAAGTTTAAGGAGAAATTCAAACTCCCTGGTGTCGTGGTGGTCCTCAGGGTCTTCCACCGTCAATTCCTTGATGAGCTTATACACAAGGTATCGCTTGTTGAAGTTAATAAGGGGACTAAAGTTAGGGCACTTGTTTAGGGTCATGAGGTTCTCAATGATCCACCCGAAACATGGTAGTAAAGGTTCGTTTAATACCAAATCTGATGGCAGTAATGGTGGTAGTAATGCCGGGAGGTCATCATAGGGACCTTCGGACCATGCTGATGCCGCCTTGACCCAAAGATTAGCAAATAATCGTGATTCGGGGGTATAAATGACATTAGTGATGGCGGTCTCAATACATGATGGTACCGGTCCCGTAGTCCCGTCAGCCGTAGTACCATCAAACACAAAATCTCCCGTCATTTTCACCTGACATATCTTCACCATATACAACAACGTCTTCATTCTGTCTAAACGTTCGTCCACGGTGATGTTTAGGTCGGTCAACTGGACGAGGATGTAGGTCTTAAACTTGGTGTACAACTTAAAGAGTTTCCTGAACACCAACGGGAACTTCTTCATCACCAACACCTTATCGTCGGTCAACAGGTCGAGGTAACTAAAGATATTGGCGATAGGAATATCATCACTTCGCGGGGTGTGGTACGCCATAAGTCCACCCCGTTCAAATTCTACCTCCAACACCTTAAATACCGCGAACCAATCTTCCGTCCGTACGCCCTTATAAAAGATGGTAAGGAGTTTATTGAATTTATGGAGGAATTTCTCGATCTTGGTGACATTTTTATGGCCCGGGAGGTTCCTGTTGATGGGGACTTCGTGGAGGGAATTGTTGAACTTGAACTCGGTGATTAAGAACTCATCAAATTTGGAAAGTTCAATGGGACGGTAGGTCTTGCGGACGAAAAGCTTCTTAAGTTTCTTGTAGTAGGTGACGAGGCTCTCGAAGAGTTTCTCGAGGGAGGTATCGATCTTGTTGGAGTTATACCATTGAAGGATCTCGTTACTGAAAAGCTTAAGGAGCTTGACGAGGATTTTCTTGTTGGTTAGGTCGGTGGAAAAGTTCTTGTAGAAGTTATTGATGAGGACGACGAGGACCTTGAGGATATTGATTTGGATTTTGAGGAGGATGGAGTAGTCGACTTCGCCGAGATCGTTGAGGGCGACGGTGGAGTCGAGGGACCAGTTAGGGAAGCTTTGGAAGTCTTGGCCCTTGCCTTGGCCCATGCCATGGCCTTGGCCCATGCCTTGGCCTGGGTATGAGGGTGGTACTGATGATTGACCTGGTGACTGGCCAGGGGCACCACCCGTCTCACCCTGACCTCGCTGATGAATCCTCTTCATGATGGATATCACCGCATTCCCGGAGTTGATGAATCGATGGGCAAGAATCTCCAACAACTGCCTGGTGGTAATGAACGAATTGTAACTGAGAAGGAACACAAACCTGTACTCCGTGAGGTCGATGGTGAGGGAATCGTCGAGGTACTTGGAATCAATAAGGAGAAGGTCCACTAGTTTATCGATGGTGGCATACTTGGGGATGTACTTGTAAATTTGGAGATTACTGGAGTCACTGGAAACGATACTGAAACTTTGGTGGGACCTGGAAGGAATGGTGACGGGGAAAATACCACTATTCAGGGTGGGTGGTCCATTACTGGTGGCTTCACTAGTAGCTGGTTGGCCACTGGCCCCATTACTGGCACCTCCATTACTGGCCAGGTCCAGAAGATGGAAATTACTGAACTTCTCTGAATTAAGAATATCATCTACGTCGATACCTAAGCCAGGGACGTATTCATCGTCATCTTCGTGGTCGACTTCTTCAAGGGCGTTGTAGGTGGAGGTGTTGTGGTCTAATTCGGTGACAAAGTCATCGATACGGAACACGAGTTCGTCATCAATGACAATATGATGTTTATCGTCTGCTCTGGTGTCGGTCCTGGCGTCGGTCCTGGTGTCGGTCCTGGTGTCTGCTCTGGTGTCCTGTCTAGCATCAGATCTGGCGTCCCTACCGTCCCTGGCGTCCCTGGCGTCCCTACCGTCCCTACCGTCCCTACCGTCCACCAAATCATCATACTGACCTATATTGATCTTAAAGTGGTTGTTGTTAAACACCGGTAACCTAGGCATCTCCTCGTGTGATTCCGTCGATACCAACGATACGTTGGAAGCGTTGTGGTTCTTAAACACCGGCTTAAGGTACCCTTCAGGTAACTCTGGTTGGAAATTTAACGATAATTCCATGACTTTCTCTAAATTGAACGATTCATTTAGGTCGATGAGTTTATAAAGCTGGTGGCGTAAACTGTCGTTAACGGGGAACGAGAGCTCGGTAGCATCGAATGCTTGAGGTAAGGATTTTGTGTCATCGGTGTTATTCCCGAGGTAAAGTACTTGGTTTAAACTCTCATTGGAGAAGATGAACCCCATGGAATCGTACCGTTTTAATACGTCGTCGTTGTATTTAATGATCTCGTTGTAATTACTTAACCCTTCGAGGTAATCGTTCCATCGTTTGAACGAATAGGTGATTTTATTATACGTCGATTCCAAATCTTTAATGTTAGGCATGGTACCATTGGTGGTACTGTTGGTGGTACCATTGGTCCCTTGGGAATTAGGGCCAGGACCAAGGTTATTAACGATTAAATCGCCAAAATACGGTACCACCTTCTCTTTAGGATAAATCTTCCCCATACCACGAGGTGCCATGATATGGTACGACGTATCCCGATGATCCAAATCAGGACTGGCTTGATTAGGGGTGGCAGGGTTGGAATTTACACCATTAACGAGAAATCTTCGGTCGAGTTCGAATAATACCGGCGACCAATCGTTCTTAAGTAACTTTATGTAATCAGATGACACAAAAGTCCATATTTTACTCAAACGGAGGATGGGCTGAGATAATACCATCGACGCTATTCCTAGCCACGATGACATGTTCCCGGACTTATCGAGCAAACACCCTAAATCGATCCATTTTTCAAGTAACCTGGCCTTAAACTCCAAGAGGGAGCTGGAACAGTTCAAACTGGTGATATCGGTTTCAAGGAAAAGCTGGTTGACCAACAATCGGGCCAAATAATGGATGTGGAACTCATTATTGAAGAACAACGGGTTCTTGTTGTAGAAGAAATCCCCATGGATGGACTCGGTGATGGAAGAATATAAAAGGAGGGACTTATCGATGGAAGAATTCCATTGACGGAAGAATTGAATATCTATGGCACTAATGGTGGAAGCAAATTCAATGATATTGACGTGATTAAGGAAATAACTGGCACTAAGATCTTGGAATGGATTGGTATCGACGTCATGAGTGATTAGACCCATAAGGTTCTGTTGTTGGGCCAACATCTTGGACTTAAATTGACCTAGTTCTTCGGCGGTCTCTAAAAGTTTGAGAATATAGGGAGCCACGTCGGATTTAAGGAGAAATCCGTGGAAATGATCGTGGATGGTGGTAAGTAACGATAAGCATCGGTCGATGATGGTAGGACGATGGGCGGAGATCTTGCCGGCAAATACTTCCACGATGAATGAATTTATAAGTCTAAGGGATTTGCCCAAATCAGGGAATAAGGGGATCATGGCAGTGAGTTGGTCGATGGCCTTTCTGTTGACGTGGGGGTTGTTAGTGGTGCCATCAGTGGGGCCATCGGTGGTGCCATCGGTAGTATCAGGGTGGAACAAAAAGAAATGAATCAATGGTTCAATGGTATTCCCTGGTAAGAAACTGGCGGTATCGGCATCAAACTTTAGGTCAGGATGGGGGGATTGTCCGTAGTAAGTTATATGATAATCTTCAATGATTGAATGTTGAGATACTGGGGAATGGACCGATGAATGGACGGAGGTGGTGGAAGTATTGGGGTGTTTAAATACTTCAGGGGGAGTGAAATCATCTTTAATCGACCCCGTCCCATATAAACTGACGTCGTCCCGTAGTTCCAACGGTTTGAAGTTCTTAATGTTAAGATTGGACTTATAAAGGTATAAATGGGACCCTTTTAGTTCAGCTCTCATGAGCTTGAGGGAATTGTCGGTGATATCGTTGACGGAGGTGTTGATGATGACGTTTGTCCATGAATTCTTGATGAGCTTTGTGTCATAGTCGTATTTTATGAGGGAAGTGACTGATTTGGGGCCCGAATTGGCACCAGAACTGCCATTGGTGGCCCCAGAATTGCCAGTGATGGCACTAGAATTGGCGGTGGTGCCAGAATTGCTATTGGTGGAGGTACCGTTGTTTGTCACCGTATTGGTGGTATTGGCGGTATTCACCGTAGTGGCCCCACTGGCGTTACTTATCATACTGGCAGAGCCAATGGATGAATTAAGGGTGGATCCCCCAAGACTATCGTCGTAGTTACTGGTGGTAGGATAGAGGGAATTGAAACTCCGACGCTTCTCCTTATCCTTCCTGCTCCAGATCTTCCTCATGACTTCTTAACTGTGCTAGTAGGGGAGTGTGGTGGTGGTGGTAGCGGTGGTTCTACCTATCCTGTGGTAACTTGGTCGCTCGTGAACTTCGTGAGCTGGCGCTAACTTGATCTAAGCTCTCCTGGACTGTAATGACCTCTCCTACGGTATGCTGAGCGGTGGTGTAACCTCTGGTACTGTCTTGGTAACCTGTAAGCTGTCGTGGAAGCTGTCCTGTGGTATGGTTAATTAGCCGCCCACAGCAACTTCAAAAATACTCGTCCGAACGCCGCCAAAAAAACAAGGGCGGTCAATGTCAATGGTCTAAATCGATTGCAAACGCTAGGACGTGGGTATGGCTAGGTTTAAGCGGGAATTCCAATGGTTGTTGTTAACCCTTGAAAGTTTTAAGGAATCTGTTTGAGGAAAAAATGTTCGCGTCAGAAAATTTTTACCCAGGACCCAACAGACTTGACGGTTTAGGGGGTTAAAACAGGTAAAGGAAGGAGTTTTCCGTTGATTTGAACGTTCTAGAGGGAACTTTACGGTGAGAAAACGGCTTTGTGAAATTTTGGAGCCATTTGAAGCAGTTTTAAGGAGTTTTAGGCCCAGTTATGATCAGGAGCTCGTCAATATTTTTAACGCTAGGACGACTGGTCGGGGGAGGGACAGTTGGAAGGAGTGGGGGGAGAATGGTACGACAGTTGAGTGGTAATAGGCTGGCGGCTAAAGATATACAGCGCCAGGAGGATGTAACACCAGGCCAAGGGGACGTACAACCGGACCAACAAGAAGCTTCAGCCAAGGAGATAAAACCTCAAGGCGAGGGGTTGCATCGAGCTCGTACAAACTTTAATCACCCCCAATATTATCCCACGCTTAGAAGCTTACCGTACCATACCACCTTGCGAGTGCCTGAGTTCATTCGTCAGTTCAAGGAGGTGGATTTCTCCCACCAACCCCATAAACGGAGCCCAGAGGTGGTGAACCTCATGGGGAAGATCGCTAATGTGAGGAAATCAGGTAAATCCATGTACTTCATCGACCTAACTCAGGACGAGGCCACGGTACAAATCATGGCCACCAATAAATTGATGGACCTAAATGCTACCGAGTTCCACCACCATCATGGTGATCTTCGTAAAGGTGACGGGGTGAGTTGTGTGGGGCATGCTGCTGTCACCAATACCGGCCAATTGACACTAAAATGCACTCAACCACTTCGAATGTTAACACCGTGTCTCAATTCCATGAAGTTACCGGAGAAATTGGTCGATAGGAAGGTAATTAACGGTAATAAGGTACTAAACTACGTGATAGATGGCAAAGCTAGGGAGAAAATCATTCTTAGGTCGAGGTTAGTGACGTTAATGAGAGATTTCTTCAACCGGAGATCGTTTTTAGAGGTATCTACCCCTATAATGACGGGTCCATCGACGGGAGCCAATGCCAAACCATTCATTACACGTGCTAATAGTATCGATAGTGACTTACAACTAAGAGTGGCACCAGAATTATGGTTGAAACGATTGGTGGTGGCAGGATTTGATAAAGTTTATGAGATTGGATCGAATTTCCGTAACGAAGGGGTCGATGGGACTCATAATCCTGAATTTACCAGTTGTGAATTCTATTGTAGTTATTTCCAATTAGAAGATTTGGTCGATACCACGGAAGATTTGGTCCATTACCTCTACGGCGAATTATCGTCGGAATTTGATATTTCGCATTTAGATGATTTACAGGGGAAGTTCGACCGATTTGAATTTATTCCTACCATTGAGTCGCGAACGGGGGTGGAATTACCGGTGACTTTATCGTCGGAAAATTTAATAACTTACCATGAAAAAATTGGTTTATCGCTACCGAAAATTAAATCCCCCGCCAGTTTATTAGATAATTTGGCCGCCACTTATCTTGAATCCATCAATGCTGGTACTAATAAACCGACGATAATTTATAACCATCCGGCAGTATTATCGCCGTTATCCAAGTCCACCTTCATTAAATATGGCCGCCGAGAATACGATATCTCCTTGAGGTTTGAGATGTTTATTGATGGTAAGGAATATGTTAATGCTTATGAAGAAGAGAATAGTCCGTTTGAACAGTATGAGAAGTTTAAGCTCCAACAAGCCAGTAAGGAGGATTTCAATGATGAGGAATCGTTGATACCGGATTGGAATTATATTAAGGCGTTGGAGTATGGATTACCACCAACGGGAGGATGGGGGTGTGGGATCGATAGGTTGGTGATGTTGTTTAGTCGGAGTGAAAGGATCGAGGAGGTTTTGAGTTTTGGGACGGTAGAGGATGTTTTGAGGAACTAGCTCGCCGAGTAGCCACCTGAGTGGAGCTACCAAGCCCATTCTTCCTTTTCCACCTGAGCTCATCGTCAGTAGCCTCATACCCAGTGCACCGTCAGTACACCATCAGTACACCCAGTACATCGTCAGTGACCGTGTCAGTAGCCTCACCCCATACATGTAAATATTAAGACACCACGGCTACCACACCGGCCAACTGGCCATACCAACCAGCTCACATAAACTTGTAAATAAACGAACCGGCTCTAAATCGGCTCTAATCTCACAAATCCTCGCCCAACCCTCGCCATATTTACCGCCACCTTAAACCCACCTTTATAAAACTCACCGTCTGTAAACTCGCCGTATTTCCGCCAATCTCGCGGTTAAATTATCGAAAGATCCCACCGCCATCCCTTCACCGCGATTATCCCTAAATCTTTCCGTTTTTTCTCCTTCCTTTCCCACCCCCTTCCTCCGCCTGTCATATCGTCTCCCTTCCTTCCCATCTCTCCCTACCTC